CTTGAGGTGGCTCCTTCTGAGAAAGCCACTGATTCTTTTTTAATTTTTTTTATTTTTAATCCTGCAGTCTTATCTGGCAAATCTATGCTTATCCAAACTTTCTCTTCTTTCAGTATACCCCTTAGCCATGGACATCTCTAGATTAAAATTCAAGTTTTATTGTTGAGTCCACATCCACTGAGAAGGCAGTCATTGGAAGGTCATTCCTTGAGGCATTGGAGTTGTGCTTTCTGTGAGGTTTTGTGAATATCCCTATTGTAACTTGCATTTCAGCTTCACTGTATTTGTTATAACATCTCCAAGGTACCTAGAAAAGTCTGCTCACTCCTCAGTTTGGGTGCATCTGTAAAGCAGGGATCAAATTCCTAGCAGGAAATGGCTGACTTGATATGTGTCAGCTGCAACAAAGTTCATTTTCTTCCCAGTACTGCCTTGGGATTTGGATGACAATCTTGCTGCTAACAGGCTGCTGCTGCTGCTGAGCAGTGCTTACATGGAGGCTCTGTCAGCTTCTCACATTGCCCTGCCAGCACAGGGAGCTGGGAGGGGACAGCCAGGACAGCTGATCTCACCTGATCCAAGGGACATTCCAGGCCACATGGAGTCATCCTCACACATAAATCTGTGGTGGAAGCTGGCCAGGGCCACTGCTCAGGAACAGGCTGGCTGTAGGTCACTGGGGGGTGAGCAACTGCGTTCTATCCAACTGTTTTGTATATTAAAATTCTTTTGTTATTACCATTATTTTCTTTTCCTTTTCTGTCATCCAATTAATCTTGTATTTTCTTTACCCCCCCAGTTCTTCTCGCTGCTCGACTGAGGGGGCTGAGGACTAGGCAAGTGTCTGTCTGGTGTTTAGGGGCTGGGTAAAACAGCAATATGGCAGAAAGAAATGCTCAGACTTTCTCTGATTTTTGTGTAGAGTCACACAACTAGTTCCTCAGAGGGCAGAGGCTCAATTACAGTGGTGGCTCCTGCAGTCATCACCATCTTCTGTCATTGTCATGTTCTTTTGTGGCAGGGAAGATTGTACCATACCAAACATGCAGAAATATTTCACTGAATTTCTAGAATTGTAGTTATGTTCTTTTGTTATATTTGGTTGAATTTGCATCACACTCTTTTCACTCAGTTGGCTGAGGCCAAAAATCAGTTCTGTGATGCTTTGGCAGATGTGAATTTGCTTGGTTGTTTTTTTCTTTTTCTCTGCACAATCATCCCTGAATAATGCTGCAGCCTTTTCTGGAGGATGGACAGCAGTATCTCAATCAAGTAACAAATTACTAATTTTGCAACAGAAACATTTGATAGTGTACCACTCTCTGATACTGAGAACATAACCAAACTTAAGCCAGAGCTTATAGAAAGATGGCTTCTAACTCCACCAGCAAGCAAATGAGAATGAGCCCAAAATAAACAAGGGGGAGGGAGTTAAACATGGACTCTTTAGCATCCTGCCCAAACTAGTGTTGCCTGATGTCTTTGTACTTTTCCAGACCTTCCCCCAGCAAAGGATAAAACATGTAATGCTTTATCACAGTAGACAGATCAGCAATCAAGCTCTCTGGTGTTGTGCAATACCATAAAACTTCTCACTTGTAATATTTGCACCACTCTGCTCAGGCTCCCCTGAGCTCTGCACATCCCATTGGTTCTCATATTGTGCCCTTTCTTTTCTAGCTTTTAGAAAAAGCAAAAATTACTTTTTTTCCTCTTTTACTGATCCTGAAGATGTTTTCCAGTAATTGCCTCACAGGAATGAGCAGCAAATTCACAATAAAATTTGTCTATGGGTCTACAGCTTCTAAGGCATTTATATTTCAGCTATTGAACTGCTGATTTAGTTTTACCTTTTCTCATGATTTTTGAAACCATCTAATGCTCTAATTTTTGCCTTTTTTTCTCTGTGATATTTGCATACTTGCAGGGAATCTTTTTTCCTTCATTAGCATTTCTACATTTCCATTTAGTTTTGCTTTTCCTTTTGCAATTGTTTTACTCTTTCTGGAATCCTCTTTTAGTCAGAAAAGTATTGCCCAGAGAGTATTAAACCTTCAGTATAGGCTGGATTTCCTGAAAAATTAATTAAAATATTCATAGGTTATGTGAGTGTTTACCAGCTCAATTACTATGCTCAGTCTCAGGCAGTTATAGGAGATAAAAGAAAGCCATAGGGGCTCTTATTCTACAACAATAAGAAAAACAGGGCTTCTCTTTTTAGACTCTTTACTTGCCTTTGCAGAGAAGAAAAATCTTCCATTTTCTTGCTGATTTGTGGACTTTGGCTGTGTTGTTTCTAGCTGTAACGCCATGACATTTTCTTTGTTACATCTCTGTGTTGCTTGGTACATTCTTCCACTGCATGTAGTACTGCTGGTGCTCTCCAGAACCTTTTTAGTGCTGAAAACTTTGAGCTGGTTATTTATCCTAGCCACAAGGAGCTAGCAGAAGGCAGGGAAGCAGTTTGAGAATATAATGTCTAGATGAGCTTTTAATGAGTGGTTGCCAAACAAATATTGCACTACTGCTTTTGAGAAACCAAGAGAAGGTTTTGTCTATGCTGGCAGTCCTGGAATTTGTTTCTCCCTGAGGACAGCTTGGTTAAGGAAAACAGAACCAACTCTCATTACTCAAATTTAATTTAAATTCAGTGTCTGATACTGTATTATTGTAATCACTCTATATTATTTTAATCACTCTGAAGTGCCTTTTTGCTATCATTTTTGAAGTTATTTGTCACTAAGGCAGAACTTCACTAAGTGTTATAGCTGACATTTACTTAATGCTACTTCATAAACTACAAATTATTAGCTCATTCACAAAATTAAAGCTGTATTACATGAGGCTATGCCATGTTTCCTGGATAAGAAAATGCCCCCTACACACTTTTTTGTTTTTTCCTTCCTAATATGATTCTACAATACTTTGAGGAATGCAAAACCAGGGAATGAGGTGCAATATCTATGTATGCTCTAAACAGAGTCAAGAGAAGAGAAAAGCATGTCCAACCACTTGCATTAGAGACTTCTCAGTTAACTACCTGAGAGCTTGCACTTCAGAGCAGACTTTCCTTTGGTGATTCTCCAGCCCTGGTTTTTGCAGAATATTACCTCACATGGCTCTCTAGTTACAGCTCTTTTCCAGTGCTCAAAGCGCCTGGCTGAGGAAATACTGCACACTTCATATGGAGATAGAGATGCAAAGAGACACTTGAAAAGAAAAGAAAAGGTATTTTTCATAATCAAATAATCTTCTCCTTCCACAACCTTACAAACTACTTATATTAAACGTGGATTAGTATACTTGATTAAAATTAGAGATTAAAACTAATTACAAACATAAACCTGTCCTCCAAATGTTATTCATTTTGGACATGTGGATAAATGTGCTGTAGAGATATAAAACACAGCCACCTTTGCTCAACCATACTGCATCAAGCCTTCACACTGCAGCTTGAAATTAACATTATCTAAAAGTTCTCTAGGAGCCAGTATGGTAAGTTAACCCCTGTTAACTTACATATTTATAGAAATAGTTCATATTTATAGAAATAGTTCACATATTTATAGAAATTATTTCATGCCAGTAAGAAAGAAATCATGAAGTCCCTTCATGGGCAGTAAAAGCCAACAGATAACATCAGCATGAACCTATTCACTTCCCAGCCCTTACCTCCCCTGCAGGGAAACATGTTTGGAAAACCTGGAAACCTGCAAAGCTCCTGCCCCTAGAGAAAGGGGAAAGGGAAGTTGTTGCCTGCTTCACTACGAATGTAACTTTATGTCTTGTCCAGAAACTGTCTCCTCTTAGTGTTAACTCCCATTGCCACTAGGAATTGGCCAAATCACATTTCACTCTTGAATTAAAATTCTCTCTGGAGTCTCAAACAATATTATCTATGTGTATTTTCTAGGCCTCCTGATTTCCTTCATACAACTGACACCTATCTGTAAAAGCTGACACAATAGGTACTTTACAAATATTCCTATACTCCTGTCTTCAAAATATTTCACAATGCCTTGCAAAGGATTTATGCAAACAGCAACCAAACAACAATAAGTACTTCTATTTTTAATTTCCTGGGAATGAACTGATATGGAATGAACACACTGGAAGGAGTTTTACAAAAAGGAAACCACTTACATAGCGAGAAGCATGTATTTAATTAAATGCTTTGCAAAGATACATGAATAAAGCTATGTGCATGACTTTCTTTAGGGAGAGCCCCAGCTGTTTATTTTTTTTTTTAAGGAACAAACAAAAAAACGTGGAGAGCACAGATGCAGTAAAGAAACAAAAAAACCTAAGTAAGTTTGTACCCACATACTTTTACAAAATAAAGCATGTTGGAGGTACAAAACATTCTATATGCTGAATGACCAACAATTAAATGCACTGTAACATTGTTCTCTCAAACACTGCAAGCCTAACAGCTAAGCTCTGAACATGACATTGACAGCAGGCATCTTTATTTCATCAGCCTTCTACAGAGTCATTTAGCACCATCACTTTGTTGCTTTTATTTTTGCCCTGCCTATCTCCTATCTTGAAATAACAACAGAAGCATAGCACCTTTTAATACCTAAAAGAAAACCAGGAATATTAATTGCATCCCAACTTCCAGAGATGAGGTAGCTCATGCTAAGAAATGATGGAATTTTTCTGCCTTGACCACTCAAGGCCAGCAAGTCAAATTACTGGTGATGCATGTCTGGATGTCAGCTAAAACCAAGGAATTTCTAAACTTTCTTTATTAGCAATTGGTCTGGTATACATGTGAATGGTCTGCAACATACAGAAATTGGCACCATATATAAGACATCTGAATAATTTGATATGTAATGGCTTCTTAGATGGGCAAATATTGGAAAATCAACAAGTCTTGGGTTTAAGACATATTTTGAAGATTAAGGATAATTTAATGGAATTACACAGATACATTGTGAGAAGTGAAATCTAGCCTTAAAAGTTAAGATATGGGACACCCCTACTCATATTTACCCCAGTAATATTTTTACTTCATAAATTAACCATGGCTATGGATCACTCTTCTGAGCAGACTTACATAGAAAAGTGCAAGAAAAACAATGCCAAATTAAGATGATCTTGTCTGAAGAGATTTTCTTCTACAAAAGACACAGCTTTCTGTGAAGGGCAACCACAGGAACACAAACTGGGGTACAGGGAGCAGGTATGATTGAAATACAGCCAACGGTTCACAAAAGTGCTCTACTTTTCTGTTATTCAGTACACATCAAAGCAAAAGAAATAATCATTAGAACTTTTACATAGATCCATATTAAATCTATCTATTTTGAATATCTGGAAATGTCAGAATAATTCGAAACAAAATTGAGGAAAAGGATTCATATTACTTTTTGAAGGTTGTCATCAATCCTCTTAAAATTGTACTAAACAATTGGTTTCAATCATTGGAAACAGAAGGTTTGTAAGTAAAATAAATATTCAAAAGGAGGCTGGGCATTTAGAAAGAGCTGTATATACAATGCTGATCCAATATCAGCCATTACTTCAAGAGTCTCAGGATTAACTTCAATCAGTCTAAGTTCATGTTTAACTGCTGCTGTTGCTGGGTAGTGTGTTATATTCCCCCCTTGCTCTTACACAAAGCAAACTGGCCCAATTTCAATTCCAAATTCCTGGTCGGTACTGCCAATGTCCACTGGTGCGATATCGATGATGGGTAAGCGCGCCACGTTCTGCGTTCTGTACTCAAAAACTGTCTTGCCCACATTCCCATTACGTTTCTGGAGGAAAAAGAAGGGGGGAAAAAATTACAAATTAGGTCAGGGCTCTGTTAAAACCAGCCTGAAGTGCAACTGCTGAGTCAGTTGTCTGATTGTTCAGGAGGGTGTCACTGCACCTTTGCTAAGTAACACTGAGCAATGCTGTCTGCACTGCACCTGGGTTATTTTGAAATGTCTCTAATGAGCAGATCTATCAGACTGACACATCAGGGCTGATTATTCTCTTATGCTATGAAATTCCTCTCTACTTGTTCATATTGTGTGCCTTCACCCATAATTGTGGGCTTACGTTAAAGCACAGAGAGTACTTAACTTTTTTCAGGTGCAGGACTAGATTTAGGAATATTTGCCAGTATGCTGGTCTTGGCTGAAACTGCCAAGTTTCTGAAAAGTCTACAACTTTCTGTTTTCTGTGCTCACCACAAAATTTTAGGGAGAGTTTTCCTTTCCAGCTCAGTGAATTTCCTCCACAGTACTGCTGCAATAATCTTGCCCATCTAGCAGACAAAAGTTTGTGGTTATGTCACCAGTTTGTATGATTCCACTCAGCTCAGAGCTAAACAAGTACTGGGAAATGCAAAATGCCAAGATGTGTATCTCAGTATGCTCACTAAGAAGGAATTTATAAATAGCCACTAAATAGTGCAGACTTTTATTATGTGAAGCTAGAATTATAACAAAATCCATGTTTGATCAGTTATGTCTACAATTCATTACAAAATCCTGCAGAATTTTAATTATTTCCCTGTGTGGGTGTTTTCTCTAATTCAAGAGAGAATTGAAAATGTTCAAAAGTCCTTTTGGGCAAAGCCCCCAAACTTACAGAGCAGCTGTCGTGCAGAACAGTGTATCTGAAGCGGCTGTTTCCCTCTGCCTTGATCTCCAGGTCATTGGCCCCTTTCAGAATCACAGCTTTCTTCAGGTTCTTTGTCTGGTCATCCAGGTACCCAACACTGTTTTTGCAAAGGTAGGTGATGTTCTGGGAGGCTTCCTTGGACAGGAGGCGCAGGAATGTCATCTGAGTGACAGCTGTATCCCCGTACACGAACTTTGGAGATAAAGAAATAGGTCAATTAACAGGACACTGAAATTAAGTGTTGGTGAATTTAGAGATATCTGCCATTATTGTCATCTTTCAGACATGACCAGTATGAGCCCTATCACATGAAATCTAAGAGTGGTTTCTTTTGTAATTTGCCACCAGCTGAGGACAAAGAAATTTAGACATTCTGTAACAGGGAGAATTTTGGAGAATTTTGATCATAATTCTCTGCAACTGCACAAGTGAGAGGAAGTTGGGCCTCCACAGATAATGCCAAGCTTTGGAATGAATTCTGCCCATTTCTGAAAGGGATTCTTACATATGGAATAATGCATTAGAGTAACCTTGAAGCAGGTAAGAAACATCAAGCACAGAAACCTCTTTTACAATGAACCTGATATATTACCAATTTAATAACTTGTTTTCTGTAGGGTTGGTATTGTATCTAGAAGCAGAACAAACAAAGTTTGACTATATGGGCCTTATAAACTAATCAATTGGCACACGAGTTTGACAAATGTTTCATGAAGTGTCAGTGTTTCTGACACTGACACTGTCAGTGAAAAACAAGCAATTTTTCTACAAGTACAACAAATTCTAAAATTCCTGAGATTTTTTTACCCTGTTCATGTAGGTTCCATTTTACTCATGTTTTATGAATCATTGCGACATAAAATACAACAGTCAAGAAAGATTAAAAGTTTATACATTTCACTGAAACCAGTGAAGAGAAAATCTTATTCACTGGTACTGTCACAATGTATAAAGAGTGGTACCTCTGTTTAGTAATCTTGGACACATTTATTATTTAGAATCCATAAGGAGTGTGTTTGACTATTGCATAGCTCATACTATCAGTTACCAAATCTGACAGTGTTTCAAAAATACTGATATATTCTTTTTTAGTGTTCCTGAGGATAATTTGTTCTTCTAAAGAACAACTGCCTTGCAAACCCCCCCTGTGTAGCTCTGCAGGCAGCTCAACATCAACTGGGATGTGTTAGGTCATGGCAAAGCTTCCTGAATTTAGTAATAAATAAAAGCATCTCAAAAAAGCAAACAAAAAAACTAGCTGTTCTCACTGTTAACATTCTGAACTGCTCTTAGTAATCCAGTTGATAACAGCATTTTTTTCACACACCAAATACTGAATTTAAAGATAATAATGCTGTATGAAATAACATTTGAAGATATTCTCTGTGCTTTTGATAAACTAGGAATAAAAATGGCAAAAACTAGTTAATAAATTATATACTTCACATAGGGTAAACTTCTATTATTTGTCATGATCATTAAGCCTAATCTTAGATACCATAGAGGAAAAACCCAGCAGAAAGGTGAGTGAAATTTTATCTGCCTAGAGACTGATGGATTCATCATGGATCAACCTGATCATATGATAGCAATCATACTTTCATTTTAAACAAATTTATAAAGTAATTTTCATAACTTTTATCAGCATAGAGTTTTCTGAAAGAAAGATTAGAATTCAATTAAAACAGCAGGGATCTGGATTATGTATCAGGGTAGAAGTACAGTCATTTAAGACAAGACAGAGATTTAGTAAAAGACTGATAGAGAAGCTGATGTTTTTGTCCAGCAGTGGTCTGCTTTAGCCAATCCTGCATTAGATGCACTTGCATTGTTTTTTCCCAGCTATTTCTTATCTTTACTATATGATACTAACAATCAATTGACTATAAGCCAGTTCAATCAACAGGTATAATGTTGTGACTGTGGCAGAACCTGCTCAGAGCAGCAGAAGAAGTTCCAAACCAGAAGGCAACAAGCTTCACAGGATCCAATTTTAGGAGTGACTGTATTTATTTACCTGTGATCCCCTGTTCATATCAAGGCCATACCAAACAGGCTTTAAGTCAGAGGACCTGCTGGCCCACCAAGTTTTGCGGGGCACACTGGATGGGTTGGCAGCAATGCAGGTCTCCCCAGTTTCCATGTTGCAGTACACTTTTATAGCATCTTCAACACACCCTTGGTTAGGATCAATCCAATATTCACCTGCAAAGAATGTAAAACGTGACTGCTGTATCACAAAGATTTTTGAAACAAAAAGACACAAGGGGAAGACTCAAGCAGAATGATGTTGCAGCAGTGCAAAGCAGTGCCCACGGCCATGCTGGGCACAAGGCAGGCTCAGAGGGCCCAGAGCAGAGGTGTGACCACGCACCGCTCCTCTTGGAGGGGTGGCACAGCTTCAGGTCGTCACAGGTGCGCGCTGGGTGCTTCCTGGAGCCATCGGGGCTGCGCATGGTCTCGATCTGGCTGCTCAGAGACTTCAGCGTGGCGTGGACTCCTGGGTCTGTTTTATTGTGGTCATCAGGGGCTGCTTCATCTTCAGTGAACTCTGGGAGTGGATCGGCCATGGCATCGTCATAGTGTCCCATGATGTCACCGATGGCAGCGGTGAGGTGGCCTGGGGGCCCTGGAGGGCCAGGAGGACCAGGCTCACCTGGTGGGCCCTAAGGTTCAAAACAAGAAGGCAATAAAGGTCCAGTAGAGTAATTACTATGCCAAATGATAGCAAAGCCTGCCACCCAAAAAAACTCCACAAAACTTCAGAGCCAGTCACTCTAAATCAGCTCATGGTTTGGTGTCTGTAAACCTCAGACCAGCATGAAGGTCACTGGGCTCAGTGTTACAGTTTGGGCTGCTCATTTGGAGTGAAGGATCTCCCTAACACATGGCACAGTGGAGGAGAGTGCTGGCAGTCAGGCAGGTGGCTGTGCTCACTCTCTGGGAGTGCCAGCTTTGAGCCGCTGTTGGCCTGTGCTTGGGCCTGAGGTTTAGGACCCAAGGGGTTGAACAGCCGTGTTGGACCACAGATCCAGCAGGGTCCAGTAAGCCACCCAGAGAACTACATCCAGCTCAGCCTAAAAAGAGCACAGGTGGATGAGGCTGGGATCATCCCAGCTTCAGAAGATGAAAATGAGTAAGAAATTCAGCCTGCCAATACAGTTAGCCTGGATGTTTCTTGGAGAAACTACATTTTATCATTTGCCTTGAGCTCATAGATGTTCAAGAAAATAATGTGATCGACTATAAAAAAGAATCTGATTATTTGAAGATAACTTTTTCCCCCATATTCCCATCAGTTTACCTCAGGTCCAGCCTCTCCCACAGTCCCTCTAACACCAGGAGGCCCAGTTGGCCCAAGTGGACCAGGACTTCCATCTTTTCCAGAAGGACCAACTGGACCTGGAGGACCCTAGAAAATATAGGAGACAGATGGAATGTATTTTAGCATTTAGTAACAAAGTTTTACAAAGCAGCCCATTATGTGCAATATCTTGTCAGGAACCAATCTGATTATTTCTGCCTATTACCAAGCTTTTAAAAATCACCTTTTTTCTTCTTCTGTAAAAGTAAGAAGGCAGTTTAATGCTGCTCTTCTGAAGTGAATCACCTCAGATAATATAACTTGGCTCAGCTGTATATCTTTCTCCTTAACCATTCAAGTGGGATAAGTTTCAGATTTCAGATGCTGTGCAGACAGGAGTAGCTTCTGTACACCCTCAGACACAGGCTCAGAGGTAGATGTAGATGCCTCCCTTGGATGTTCCCAAGGGACAGTATTTCTCCTTTATTTTTGAGTAAATGACATGCATGGGGGATGAGTGGCAGAGCTGCCGCATGCATGGCTTTTTATCAGCTGTAGCAAAAGTGTCTGTAAAAAGAGACTGCAGCCTTCTGGTCATTCTGAGCCAACATTTTTAGTTACAAAAAAACTACACTCATGACAAAGCTTTACTATATTAAACAAGGTGATGTCTCAGCAGAAGATATTAGGGTAATGATCCCATGATATCAAAGTCAATAAAAGTCATTGAAATACAAGTGATGCAGAAATAGACATCTGAGCAAGAAAAAAAACAAACCCCAAGCAAGAAAAACCTTAAAAGTTATACTCACCCGAGGACCAAATGGGCCTGGAATGCCAGGACTGCCCTGTTCACCAACTGGACCCTAAACAGAAGAAATTATTGCATCATTGTGCCATTTACAGCATGTTACTTTAGTTTTAAGGTATTAGTGTGTGATCCACACAATTTGGTATGAATAGGATTAAAAGGTACATAAACAATGGGTGGTACCTTTACCTTAATCCCTTAGTAACTTAATTAAATTCACTGGTGCTTGGCTGTAAAGCTGTTTCTCTAGAAAAGCCCTGGTTTCAAGGTATTTATTATCAGAGTGGCTTATAAGAGAGTAAATGACATCAATATCACCAAGTGAAAAGATAATTTGGGTGTCAGGCTTTTTGTTGCTGCTGTTCATGTGCATTGAAACTTCCAACATTTTCACAGCACCAGTGAATAAATGTATAAATGTTAAAAAAAAAGGCAAGTTTTCCATGATATTTCCATTCAATTGACAATGAAATCCTAAAGTTCTTGAAAATATTAGAAAGAAATGCTCTCACAGTCCTTTTGGGATTTTGGACTGGGTTCCTTGACTCTAATGAATTCAAACACTGCCAAAAAGCATTTCACACTCTAAATTGCTTATCTCAAACTACCAGCTTTTTTTACCATCTTGTGCTGACAGGTCATTAACTGTAAGGGATTGGCCTTGCAAAGGGAACAAGAATAGAACACACATCTTGCAACAACAGATTTAACTCATCACGTAACAGCATTTTAAAATTGCATTAAAATATTAGCAAGTACAGATACCAGGCCACTCAAACACCTTGTGGGGAAAACATTACTACTTTGCTTTATTTTCCACTTTAAATAACTATGTTCCTGATACACCACTTTAGTGCCAAGCAAATAAGATTATAGTAAAAGCAGAACAACTTACAGGAGGGCCAGGAAGGCCTTGAAGTCCGGTGAAACCCCTGTGTCCTTTCTGGCCCCTATCACCTCGATCTCCATTGTCACCTTTGTCACCACGAGGTCCTTGGGGACCCTGTAAATATCAATGATGAAATGTAAAATTTTGGGAAAAAAGAATTGGGAAAAAACTCCAACCTCAAAACCCCCTCATTTTCTTTTAGACACTGCACTTAGACCTCCTTCCCTTTTAAAGATGGAGAAGGTGATAGCATTGAGGCAGCTCCAGGAATCTTAACTTTTTACCAAAGAATAAGTAAATAATTACAGAAAACTGTGCTGCACTTAAATAAAGTTGTAGCAAATTTACTCTACTTAGCTACATAATACAGTAAAAAACCCATGGAAGTCTACTAATGATAATAAATAAATTAGAAAACCAATTTTTAAAATATCAGTGTATTTCTTCACCTTACTGCATAAGGCAGATGATTTTTGTTAATGAGATTGAAATATTAAAGATCTCTTACAGATTCATTATGATAAAGCATATTTTCAATATGAAATCATCCAGGCTGCATCTTTACTTCTCACAGCTTCTTTCACCTTCATTATGATTAAAGTACAACTGAAGTTACATTCCCTAACTACAGACAACACCCAGGCAGCACAAATACCTTGTTCCTATTACTATCACAATTTCCTTGTTAGCTTTGATAATTGCAAACTTCTCACACTAATTCAAGAATCATTGGAAAATGTGGCTGCTGTTTTCAATTCTATATTTCTCAGCCCAAATTACATGCTAAATTTCTCAATGCCAGATTCCAAATATTTTATCTATGGCATCATTATCACTAACTACTCAATAAACTTTACTGTCTCTCAAATGACATCTGCTTAGGGACAGGACAATATTGTTTTGAATTTCCCAAGTTTGCAATTAATTTTCTGTTCCAGGCTTGGCTTGTAAAAGACTTATGTAACATAAAAAAGAGGAGTTTTGTTTATTTTCCTTTTCAGACTGAAGTTGGAAATTCATGAGTTGAATTAAGGCTTTTTAATGGGAGCAGGTGATTTTGTTGTATTTCTGCCATTTTTTATCTAAAAACATCCTTTTTTGTTAAGTAATCATTTCCTTACCCCTTATTTAGACCAGACTCCCGCCATTTGCTAACTCAGGTCCTACCATTATCCAGACACTAACATGCTCCAAATAAAGAGGCTTCCAAAGCACTACTGGAGTATACCAATACAAATATCCAAATCTGTGCAGCTTTGCAGCTCAGAACTACCTGCACCCACAACACAAGGTGAAGCTCTGCTTGGCATTCTCATTTGGGCTGAATTCCTCACACACTTTCCTCAGTGGTATCTCAAACAAAACCTCAGTGACCATGGGCAACTTACAGGCAAACCTCTCTTTCCTGCACGGCCTGGGGGACCCATGGGACCTCGAGAACCCTACAAAGATTGCATACAGAAAGAATGTGAGGCAATGCATGAAAACCATACACAATAGTTTTTGATAAACAAAATATTTTTTTAAAAAAGCATCACTTACAGTTTCACCTCTTTGACCTGCATCTCCTGGAGGGCCAACAGGACCTGGAGTTCCTGGACCTCCTGGAGAACCTGGTAAGCCTGCAGGGCCAGGTTCACCACGATCACCCTGCAAAGCAGAATTTCAGCTGTTTATCTAAAGAGGACTGGCCTGGACCAATGCAATAAAACTGTAGCACTGCCAGTCTACTTTCGAGCAATTGCAACCTACAAAGATATTCCTGCTGCAAGAACTCAAGTCTGAGTTTGTGGAAGCAGATGTTCTTAGCCTCTTAGCCAGGCATCCTCAGCTTTGAGAGGTACTATATTCAAAGCTGGGATACACTTTCAGAACAAGCTCTCCATCAGGTTAACTGAATGAAAAGAAAATCTACCGTAAGTCAAGAATAAAATGAGGGTTTGCAGAAGAAAATTAAAAAGAGAATATATTCTTACACGTTCTCCAACAGCTCCATCTCGTCCAGGAGTACCATCATTACCAGCAGGTCCCTGGAGTTATGGAATAAAATAGAGCTATTGATTAACTCTGTAATCCTGCATTTCTAGAAGAATTAGAAAGTTGTTCTCCACTTCTAACTTCAAGTCAAGGAGAATGACTATGTCTTTTCTTGCATGCTACAATGCTGTAATACTTACTTCTGGACCAGCTTCACCTACAGGCCCAGTGGCACCTGACTGGCCAATAGGTCCTGGGGGACCTTTGTCACCAGGTGGCCCTGTGGGACCTTGCTTTCCTGGAGTACCCTAAAAAACATTACAAATATAATATTAAAATTTTAATCACAAAATAAAGAAAGCACTAAAAACCTGCTGCCTGCCAAACTACTACTGCCAGACTGAAATACTATCTACATTTGTGGATGGAAAAAAACCTTTATATTTAAAGAAAAGGTTCTTACATAATTTGAATACATATTTAATATACTATGTATTTTTAAGAAGCTACCGATAAATCAGTAAGTGTGATGTCACTATCTGCAATAGGTATGGTGTTTTAGATTTCAAAAAAAAATAATGAAGTTTGAAATAAATAACATGTTTTTTCTGTCTCAACACCAACAAATCTTGTTAGCCTTGAAAAATTTCTGGCCGACTTTAGCTATAAAGTGACTTCATGGATCCAGTGGTAATGACAGATCCTCCATATCAATCTTTTTACTAATGGATTTAATACTATTTAATGGCTTGATCTACTGGATCATTAGGCTATCCAGCAAATATCTATAAATCCTACATGAATGCAAAGAGAGCTCAAATGTCAATTTGGAAGACTGTAGTTCACAATTTATGAAACAATGCTTGCAGAGTATTTACTCACATTCAAGTGACATATGGGTACATAAATGAGAGTGTGGGGTTGTTTTTTTCAGGAATCAAGTTTTAAGTCAAAGAGGAACGTTTTAGACAAAAGCCTTAATGCTATTACTCCCTTACTCTTAATTCAGGCTCAGACTTTCCATTATGGCAGAAACCAAAAGGAAGTAAACCTTCCACCTCATGCATCTGAATGAGATTAAGTTCTTTACTATTCTCTCTCTCTATTCACTCCTGCAACTGGAGTTCTCCAGCTTTCTCCTCATGCTAAGGAGCTCTATACTGCAAATCCTACACAGAAATTCCCAGGCTGGTGGCACATGGTCTGGTGGTCACTTACTGCAGGCCCTGGCAGCCCAGGCATGCCTCTCTCCCCTCGCTGTCCTGGCATTCCAACAATTCCTCTTTGACCAGTAGTTCCTGCTGGGCCAGGGGGGCCATCTGGGCCCTGAAATCCAGAGGAGAAAGCAATGTCAGTGTCATGTCAGCAGCAATGAGCAATGAAAGCAAGCCTGGAGCTGGTGGAGGGACAGTCAAGGGACGTACCGGCTGCCCGTCATCCCCTGGGTCACCCTTGTCCCCAGGGCCACCAGGAGGCCCAGTTGGCCCTCGATCTCCCACACGGCCATGAGAACCAGGATCACCACGAAGACCTGGGGGACCTTCTTTTCCTGGCTCACCAATAGGCCCAGCAGGCCCTGGGGCTCCCTAAAAAAATGAAAACACATCATTACATTGGGCGCTTTTCTGACCAGGACAATAAAATTCTAAGGACTGTGTTTCAATTAGCTATAAATGCATGCTCTGAGGCTAACAAATGAGAATGAGCTAAAAGCTATCATCATCTCTTTTATGATAAAATGAATGAAATTAAATAAATATCAAATTATGTCCAAGTTCAATCCATGTCCCCCCTCAATTTTCAATTCCAAACTCACTTCTTTAAAAGACACTTTTGTATGTTTCTCTCTTTTTTGCTTTTTTCTTTCACCTCAAGTATATAACCACTGCTAGACTACTCACCCTTGCCCATTCTTTCTACCATAATCAAGCTAAAGTTTATATCCAAACTTTTCATTTCCATGGCACAAATTAGTGTTTCAACAGACCTTGGTTCATTTCTCAAATACTTTTTTAAAAGACTTCATGTGCATATTAAGTTTTCCATAAACTTCACATTTGATAACCTTACAATGACTGCAAGTTGGTTTTTTTCATCATAACATTAAAAGGCATATGAAGCATGACACAGTTCTCTGTGTGGTCAACCCTCAATTTGATCCACAGCTAGTATTTATTTGTAGTGTTTCTGCAAATGTTTGAACAGAAGAGATTTTGTGTTTGTGGGTTTGAGTTTATTTTAATGGAACTTAGGAGTAACTCCACCAAATGAAAGAATCCAGTAGAGGCTCTTTCTTTTCCAAAAACTGTCGTAATTTCAGTCACCACTAAAAGGACAAAAAGTAAAATATGGAGGAAAATATAAGTTGGGATTTTTTTATTCCTCTAAGCAATTAAGTCATTGGAGCAATTTGAGCAGCAATTTGAAAGCCTACTTAACCCAATGGAAAGCCTTGGACCAATATCAGGCATTGGACCAAGCTGAAGACTAATGAGCTTTATTTAATGATGCAAACAATCAGTCAGTGCTGACAAACTGTTCTCTTCAATAGCATCAGGCCATAAACACTGGCTCACCTTTCTTGCTTTATTTAACCTTCAGATTCTTGGTGACCATTTTATAAAGCATACCTACTAGGAAATGATAATTAACTTACAGTAGGTCCTGGAGGCCCAACTCTTCCAGCAGATCCTGGGAATCCAGTAGCACCCTAAAAAAAGCCCCTTTTTAATGGCATCTTTATCAAAAGAAACACAGCACTAGTTACCTCAAATGTTCTTGGCTGAATTATTGAGCAAATTATATTTACATACTTTAAAAACAAGCTAAGGAATAATACACACGTTACATAAAATTTCAGTATTAGATTATCTGCAGCCAAGTCTCAACACATAATGTCTACTTACAGGTGGACCCTGAGTTCCTCTACCACCTTTCAGACCAGGAACACCTGGAGGGCCCTAAAAGGAAAGGAGAAAGAGAGGGATGATAGTGAACACCCAGAATTTTTTTAAATTAACAAGATCAGTCCATGTCACTGGTTCTGAGAGGATTTTATTTGTACTTACTGGGGGACCATGAGACCCAGCAAGACCCTGTGGTCCTGGAGATCCAGCATCTCCTTTCTGTCCAGGTTCTCCAGGTTCACCTTTGACACCAGGCTGACCATCAGGGCCCTATAAGAAAAATTATTTAGAAGAAACATCAGGGCAGGCAACACCAAATCTTTCCTAACAAAATAATTCTGTAGAGAATTTTTTAAAGGGTAAAAATAAAAATACCAGGGGTAAAAATCAGTCCAGAAAACACTGTATTTGTTTAACAATTCAGCATGGTCATTAGAAAGCCACATATTACATTTTCTAAACATTCTGTGAAGCCAGTATTTCTATTTTAAATATTTTACCTCACTAGCTCATATTTTTCTTCTCTTTAGATTTTCTATTTTCCTCAGCAGCTACAAAACAAACATTGTCTTTTTTTCCCATCAAGGGAAGCAGGTGCAAGACTGTGAAAGGGATCCTGAAACAGGATACTTAGGCTGTAGGAAACCTTAGGGTATTCCAGTCCATCTGGTCCATCACCTCATTCCAGCCTTCACTACTCATGGCAAAAATCTTTGCTAACTTCAGTAGACACATTTTAACTTCCCTTATTTTAATCTCAAAGGAACAACATAACATGCTAATGAAAATATGAAATCTGGTGAGAAATTACATAATCCTAACAAAAAAACCACTTTTTAGCTGTCTAGGGTGCTTATTGGCCCTTTCCTTCACTTGATATACTGATGGGAGAAAGAACAGCTCTTTTTGCAGCAAAAACAAGACCTCTGATTCAGAACACCACAATGTTATTCATAATGAAGGAAATTAAGTGTGTCAAAGCATGAGGAAAGGAAACTCATTAGTGTTCAAAACACATACCGGGGGGCCAGCAAAACCAACAGCGCCAGTTGGGCCATTCTCTCCTCGGGAACCCTGGGCAGAAAAATTGAAACAGCTGTATTTAAAAATCATCTTTCTACAGATAGTATCAGTTACAGTTCATTATATCAGAACTATTTACCATCATAAGTGTGATTATACTTTTGCTCTATTAATCAGAATCAAATGATCTTTTAATCAGAAAATAAAGGATGTTAGCTATGATGTTAAAAGCTGCCATGTGTTCAAGACTATCTTGAGCTTTCAGAATTCAGAGATGGAAGGCACAGGTGAGTATTAAAACAGCATTGGGAGAAATTCTGATCACAACCCATCCCTTCCAGGGATGGCCAAAGAGCACACACTGCATTCAACCTACCACTCCAATCACACTGGGGAAAAAACACAGTAGTTCAAAGATGTACTCTTCTATAAGGTCATCACAGGCTTTGACTGAGCTTTCCACTCAACATTTGCTTGGAAAAGAAGTAGCTGAAGGCTGCCAACTCCAGCACTCCCTAAAAGGGTGGAAGCTGCTCCAAGTTATACTGGAAATAAGAGTGTTCTGATTTATGACAGGGACATAATCAATTTCAAGCAGTGTGAAGGATCTAGAAGGGCTGAGCCTGCCTCTAATTCCCTAATTGAAGTCAACCCTTAAAATATTTCAAATCACTAATAGATGGAAGATGACAAGAGTTACATAACTGGATGAACTAAGGATTACCTCTGCGCTTTGCCCATTAAATATTTGTTTATGTGCAGTGGTATCTGCTAGGGGCATGCTTTTAAAAACATTGACACAATTACAAGTGGTGGCATCGTTTCAGGAGTGAGGTAAGTGAGGGTGACTCTATAAAGTTTGCCCTAAACAAGTATAGGTCACAGGAAGAAAATCTGGTAATACTTTTGCAAGTGCACAGCAACAAGTCAGAACTTCACACTTGGCTACAGAGAAAGGGAAAGAAAAAGGGGAAAATATATCAGCAAATAAGAAAAATTCCTGGAGTTTGGATCAGCATTAACTTATACCAGACAAAAAAAAAAAAAAAAGCATGTTTACTCACAGGGTTTCCACGGGAACCAGGAGGACCAACTAGACCTCGAGGACCTGGTTCACCCTTAAAAAATAAAATCAAAGAATTTTATTTCTCAAGTGACTGACTTGTTTGGTCATTAAAATGCTAATGAAGTCTGATAATATTAAGAAACTTCAGTAGGGAAAGGAATAAAAATCTGTTTACCTTTTCCCCAGTGGGACCTGCTGGACCCATTGGGCCTATTGGACCAGGGAGACCCTTTTGAACAAATTAAGATGATAGGAAGTTAGAAAAGTGATGCTCCAAAAAAAGACAGTTTAAAACTTCTCATATATTACCATTCCCTTTTTCATTCCTTTGAATTCTACTTTATCTCTGGAAACATCTTTAATCTTCTTTATCTAAAATTAACTTGCATTTCCTCTCCCAACAACCAAATCCCCACAAAAGATCTGCTTTCCTTCATTCCCTCTTTCTTCTCTAAGTTCATCATCTGCTTTATGCAGTATTCATGAATAAGGCAAATAATATAAAAAAAACCCCACAAAAGTCCCAGCTTTATTTTACTCTCTCAAAAAGGAATCAAGTCTTTTTTTCCCACCTGCACAGTGCTCTGTTTCTTTTATGTTAGTATTTCACTTCTTAAATTAAAGTATCCATCATTTTTTCTGAAGATTCATTTTAATCTTACAAACTATGCAAAAATGTTCTTTATCTCTTCATAAGGCAGGCAAATATGTTGCAAACTTTCCTTCCAAACCCACCAACTCCACATAATGATCCTTCAGCTCACCATTACTTCACCTGTTCATTAACTACCATATATCCCTTAAAATCACTAAGAACTACTCTGTATCTTTGGATAATGTTTGATTTAGATAACCAATTCCAGCTCACACATAACTTTATTAGAGCTTCTGTATAATAGGGTTTCTCAAAAAAAATTTCCTCTTTAACAATAAATGTAGTCTAGACACGATCCTTGTATTTTGACTGTACCTCAGATTTCCAAATGCTTAGCAGCTAGTACTCCAACTGGTTTGCACAACCCAAGAATCTCAGGTATATTCTCAATTCATGTAAAAAGTAACTTAGATAACTTCTGGGAAGGAAAAATGGTCAGTGCATACAAAGAAAACCAGTGCAACTGAGATTATTGGACAGTTTGTCTGTGCAGCAGAGTGTGTGCAATGCACCTTGAACACAGCTTGAGCAGACTAGAGACCTTATTAATGCAATGGAGATTCAAAACTTTCTAGAAGTGCCAGCAACTTACTGCTTATGTGAAGCTTAGTACATTGACAGGAATTTTCACCTGTGAAATTTAGGACAGATTGTGGGCAACTCGATGGAGACAAGGAGGAGGAGTCTTAGTCCAAAACTGAGATCTGGAAGATTTGCTTTTTGCCTACTCATCGCTGACTGCTCATTTGTTCATATTTTTTACTATAGTCAACTTAGACGAATCCCAAATCAACTGTGAATCCTTCCCATTGAGCTCTTAACTTGCATTATTGGTGATACCATATAGGGGCTTGGAACACAGACACATCCCAACGTTTTGCACAGCAGTCTTGAAAAACATGAAGATTTGGAGGGTGAGGTAATGACTGTAAATGTATGACATACCATGATAACACTTCATAGTGCTTAACTCCACAAGCTGAGTCCCCTAGCACAGTAAACAAACAGTGTGTGAAGAGCAGGTCTAAAGAGAAAGACAGATTTACTTACTCTTGCCCCATCGTTGCCAGCTGTACCTTCAGCACCTTTCTCACCTACGCCGCCCTATGGAAAACGCCCAGAAAGTCCCAGTTATGGCATGGAATGCTGTGCAGGTCATTCCCTGGAACAACTGCAGTGTTAAGGGACAGGTCACGCTACTCAGGAGGACAGCAATGAACACACTTACTCTATCACCCTTAGGGCCAGGTGTTCCAGCAATCCCTCTCTCTCCAGGCATGCCCTGAAGGCCTGGTGGTCCTGGATCTCCAGGTGTCCCACTAGGGCCTGGACTTCCCTGGAACAAAAGACAAGTTGTTGCCTATTCATCTGAGAAGCATCTTTGTCTCCAGGCTGCAGAATATGTTGTGCCTGTGTTGAAGTCTCTGAGGTACAGTTTTAAGTACTAATTTTATCTGAAATTTGGACTTTATTCACATCCAAATACTTTTCTTTTCCCATTGTGTTACTCAGGAAGTTCAACTGTAATACCATAGTTCTTCCAAATACATTAATATTTAATCAGTGCATACTGGAGATGAAAACAGACAAAAAAAGAAGCTTGGGAATCTTTCTGCCTTGACCTTGATGTCACATGGGTTTAGTATAGAAAGTAGGTACAGGGAGAAGTTGCCAGGGGCAGAGATGCTCGTGTCTATTACAGGTCTTACATAACTAGAGGCACTCCCTGCTTGACCTGACTTTGCTGGCCTAGTCACATCCACAGCAGGTACATGCATGCAGGCATGAAGCTTCCAGCATTTCCTTTTAACTGCTTAGCCCTGCCAAGTGTCTTTGTGTAAACTGGCATGGCGCTTACAACATTGCTAGAAGATTTTCTGTATTTCAGAAATGGCTTTGCCCAGTTCTACTGTGAATTCTCAACATTTAAGTATGTTGCAAGGTTTTAATATTGTTATAATTGGAATTGTGTGTCCTTCCTTATACAACAGAGATGCCTTTTAATTTATAATTAAAAATCTCTCTTATGTTCATGCAAATGAGTAAAATTGTACATCACATCACTGCAGCAATACAAATGTCTACTCAGTTTACCTTTGGGCCATCAGGACCATGGCCTCCAGCCATCCCCTTTTCACCCTGGAGACCTGAGGCACCTGGTTCTCCCCTTTCCCCTGGATTGCCACGTTCTCCCTACAAAATGGAAGATTGTAATTTATTTACAAGGCAGGCTAGAATTCTGGTAGACAAAATCCTAAATACACCATAAGAGCAGCAGAGCCTGTGAAAAAATTCTAGAAGAACTGATTAAATAATAACTAGATTTATGCTTTTGCTGTTAGAGGTGGGAGAAAGATGTTGCTCAGCAAACTAAAAACTCTCAATTCACAGCATAAACCAAATCATCTAGCAGGTAGTACTCAACACCACTTCAGGAGCTACAAAATCATTAAAGGTGGTAGATTTTACAGAAACTATCTTAAAACATATCCATATTTAAAACTATTTTGTTCATTTTGTTGGTGGGGGAAAAGGTCAAATACTGACTTTAGCTGTTAAAGTCTATGGCATGCATCAACTTCCAACCTCAGAGAACTGTTATGAATATTAAACTCTAAAAGAAAACACTTACCCTGGGGCCCAATGGACCAACAGCTCCAGGATCTCCAGGCACGCCCTAAGAACAAAATTCACCATTAGAATGAAATCATTATTCATAACTTTATAGTTATGAATATTGAAGACAAACATTTTTATTTCCAAAGTACTGTGAATGTAGATGGCCAGTTCTAAATCCTATCTGTCAATGACAAGAGGTGATAATCCAGCTCAGTCCAAGAACACAGATTCTCATAATTATTTTATGGCAAAGCTGTTCTTAGACAGCTTGCAGACTACATCAATCAGTATTTTGAAACAGAATGGGAAATTCAATTAGAGAGAGAAGAAAACATAAAACTACTTTCTAAATTGTATTTTTTTAATGTTATGTTACACATACATTACCTGATCACCTGGTTTTCCTCCCTCACCTGGAGGACCTGGTGGCCCAGGCAAGCCCTGTAAAAAGTAAATAAAATGGTCACTAACATGATAGAAAGTTATGTAAATCCAGACTTAACTAGGACACCAAGATCATGAATGTTGCAATACACTCAGTACAAGAGCACACTCTCAGAGATTCCCAAAGGAAAGAGTTACATGAATATTGCACCAAAAAGTTTCCCCCTCTCTAAAGCAGATACCAGCCCTTCCTTAACATTTGCAGGACATCTCAGCCCTAGAAGTAAAGTTCTCTATAAACAGATATTGATTTAATTAAAACTTCATTATCAAGACAATTATTTTGCTACATATTTGGAACTTTTTTGGAAAATCTTCAAATTAAAACTGATTGGCATCAAAGGTCCTCTCAAGGGATACAGAGCTGGTGTTTAAGCCTTTGCCAGTTTGGTTTAGTGCACAGCTGATATGAAAGTTATGGATCATTAATTATTCTGAATCTCCTTGCCTTAGTTCTGAAGTTATATTATGCATCATTTGATTGAATTTCTCCAATTTAAGTTGATAAAGACATGGCTGTTTATTTTTTAATTTAAAAAAAAAGGCACATACCTGAAACCCTGTAGGACCTGGAGGGCCTTGTTCTCCTCTTTCTCCTGCCAGACCCTACACAAAAGGAAGTAATAAGTAAACAGAAAAGGAATATAGGCAGGCTCCACAATTTTTTCTTTTCTCTGAACATGCATATTTTTAATTAGGTATTTATTCACTATACATTTTTACTTATCCCAGGACAAGATAGCCTGTCTAAAAGATGTAATAAGATGTGTATAATTTCTTTCAAACCCTTCCCCTAAAGGTTCTCTGGTAAAAGGAAAACATTCAGTTCCATTAAAACCAAGAAAGATGTGAAAATTAACTATGATAATTTTTTAGTCCTTGCACTATTTTTGTAAAGGTTAGTAAAAGCAATTAGACTACTAATATATATATTTTAATACAAAACTGGCAATTTTTTAAGACAACTTTTCTTTAAATGTTCTTGGAATTTTTTGCTTGGAATCAGCAACTGGCATGAAGATTGATAAGAATAGAAGTCAAAAGAGGAGTGAGTAGATGGAGTACCAAGCAGGCAGGCAGGCAGAGAGGTAAAAACTGACTTACTGGTGGGCCAACAGGACCAGAAGGGCCAACTTCACCATCTTTGCCAGGGGCTCCCTACATTAAAATGACAGGGGAAGAAATCTTGTGTAGTGAACACACATAACAGAAAAGCATAGTTTTCCATAACCACTGCAAATAACAGCCACACTCACTCTCTGTCCTGGGACTCCTGCATTGCCTGCTTCTCCAGGTTTTCCAGGATCACCCTAAATTGCAGAAATAAAAATGACCAGGTTTAGATATTTTTCACCCATAAAATATACAGAAATGGTTCAAGTCAGGAAGGGATTGCCATACTCACACTACCACCCTTGGGCCCAGGAAGGCCCATGCTGCCTGGCTGGCCTCTGATTCCTATGGAACCTGCTGGGCCTGGACGTCCATCTTCCCCAGGAGCACCCTGCAGAGATAAAGCATTTTCCACATTAAATTCTAAATATATTTATTCATATGAATTTATTAATCCCAAGAAAATGCTTGTATATATAAAGAATATAACATTAACCTGGCTTGGGGCTTCACTTATTAGTCAAAATATCTTTACAGCAGACACAGCAATAGCCATACTGCTGGATTTAACCAAATGCTATGCAATTACTAGAACTGAATCATGTAAAAAATAATTTACTATGTCCATGCATCAACTAGGAAAATATGTCCAAAGCCTCAACTAGGAAAATATTTAGTTCAAACATTTAACAATGATGGAGCAGCAGGTAAGCAAGAGATACTGTGATACAGACAAAACTAAACAAATGTTATTGGTACTAATTTTGAAGTTAGGAATGTAAAGTGAACTATCAAAAGAGAAGACAAGCCTTAATAAATAAAGAAAACTCATGTTAATAAAAGAAATTTCAGTGAGATGGGACCTTTGAATTACTGTGACATTAACTGAAAAGACTAATTTTTGTCACTTACCAAGGGGCCAAGTTTTCCTTCAGGGCCTTGAACACCTGGATTTCCTGTCAAACCCTAAATGAAGGAACAGTATTGGTGTTAGGGTTTGGTCCATAATTCTATAACAATCAAGAAACATAAAAAAATCCCAAAGAAATGCTTGATTACTGCTATAGCACGAACTTCTACATGTTAAAGGTCTTAATTTTTTATTCACTTTACAGTTTCATCTCTCACTGTCTTTGATTTTTCTTCTTCCTATTCTTTCTTGCACAAACTTCTACATGTTAAAGGTCTTAATCCTTTTATTCACTTTACAGTTTCATCTCTCACTGTCTTTGATTTTTCTTCTTCCTATTCTTTCTTGCTTTACACCTCTTGAGCTTCTCACAGGCTCATCTTTATTTCTGCCATGATCTATATCACATTTTACTGCTCCCTTTATCCCCTTTTTCTGATATTTTGAATTATCCTTCAATAATTTTCCTGACAAAAAAATCTCTAGGTGATATGTACCACTCAATCTTCTCTGTTATCAATCAACAGTTTAATGAAGGTTGGCCTTCAATCCATGTTACCTGTGGCAACTGTGCTTTACAAACACATGTCCTTCCTTTGCATCAGCAGTTCTCAATCAGGGCTATTTCTCCTTTTCTCTAAGACAAAACTTGTGCTTCCGACCATCAGCAGGAAATAAAAACATGTCTCTTGGCCTTTAGGTGCACTGAAACCAGTCTGCCCTTGCAGAGCTTCTGAATTCCCCAGCATTCACTGCTGCCTTTGGAAAATGACAGGTACCACAGTTTATAGGGTACTGCTAGCAGTCCCTTACCCTTGCACCTGGAAGGCCAGGCTCACCAGGACGTCCAGGATCTCCCTGACCTCCTTTAGGTCCAGAAGATCCTGCTGGACCACGCTCTCCTTGGGCTCCCTAGAAAGACACAATTGAGCTACTAGTTAACATCTAGAACAGTGACAGAGGAGCAGGGGAAATAAAACATTATCTTCTATTAAGGACCGATTTTTGCAAACAAAGTTACAAATCATTATCGTTATTAGTTTCCTAATTATTATCTTTGTCCCCAAAATTATTACTTAAAAGTTTCTCTTCCTTAAAGCAAGTTTATGTAAGCATTTTTGAATCCCTGTATCTTTACCAAGAAGGTAGGAATTTACAGAAACACTAGACAAATGCCTATATGAGTCACTTCCCTGGAAGTGTTAGAGCAGTTAGGAAAGCCAGATAAACCCATCTTTTTAAGGGACAAGTCTAGAAAATCACACCACACACAGAGAATAGGCATTTTTCACAGAGCCCTCTCCTACACAGCAATTCATAAAGCAATATAGGAGTAGAACAGGTCAATCCTTTACTGTGCACATTTCAAAACAAAAGAGCTTTAAGCCAGGGACAAGCAAGCACAGCTGAACATCATGGGAACTGAAAGTGACTTTTCCCAAAAAATTTTTGTCTCAAAACATTCAGACCCCCTTTTAGCATTTGTAAATTGGATCTGCCTGTTTGCCCAGAAGCACACATTTTTAATGGAACACTTCTTTTTTACATATCTGGATGTATGAAGATTTAACAAACAGTAAAAGATGGACACTTATATTTAATTTACCTTTGGTCCAGGCAAGCCATCAGAACCTGGGAAACCACGGTTACCAGGAGCACCCTAGGAAAAGCAGTAGGTATGAGACAATTATCTTAATTTTTACATAGGTTATTACAAATAAAGGACCAGATTTGTGGATTGAACACTCAGTTCATTTCCTTACAATTTTCTTACTTCAGTACTTTAACTTGGGGAGTGGAGGGTAGGTAGGGTTATGACTTAAGACTGGTAAAAATATCAGTGTCTCATTCATGCATGCTGGACAGCTCCTTCTATGTGTCCAGCCTCACTGAAAGCAAAGAAGGGCAGTTGTGCAGGTGTAGGAAAAATTCTGCAATGAACTTGTCCTATCTCCATCCTTTCTCCTACTATACTACCCTAGGCACTGAATCTCCACATTAAAGTATCCAGTGTAAAAAAAAACAATACACAGTAGTAACTACTGCTAGAAAAATAGGGTTTGACTACACCCACAATCTAGCTGTAAGAACATCCATGAGGAGGTCAAAAGGTTTTTCAGCTTAGCAGTGCATCTCTTAAGACATATTATTCCTGTAGATTTCTTACCCTCTCTCCAACAGGACCTGGTGGACCCACTGACCCTGGATCACCTCGAGGACCTCTTTTCCCTTCTTCACCTATGGGGCCAATGGGACCCTGGGGACCTTGTGGGCCCTAGTGAGAATAAAATGTTATTTTAAAAAACATTGTTAAGGTCACCATTTCTCAGGCATATTGAAACAGACTGTCTTCTGGACACTATAAACATTTTTCCAAATAAAGGAGAAGAAAACAGTTAGGTCTTGGACCAGTTAAAAATAACAGGTTTTCAGCATCTGCTTTTCTCTTTTACAATGTTTATAAGCTAATAAGCTGTAATTCTGCAGATGGGCTGGACACTGCTTCTTATAATCACCCACAATAATTTGTATTTTGTCAAGCTGCAAAGGAGTCAAAATTCAGTGAGACTAATAGAAATTTTCAAAGGAGAAGACAGTGGTAAAGAAACTATTACTTCACCTCTATATTTTTGTCAGATAATACATGATTATTAAACTGGTGAGAAAGAAAAGCTGAAGATTGGTTGATAAACCAAGTCAAACTCTGCAGAGTTGGTTTTCTCCCAAAAATTACATAGTTATAAGCCTCTGTGTTTCCTCTTCATCTTAAAAAGCATATGGAGACTTACAGGTTCACCTTTGGGTCCTGCTTCTCCCTTGAAACCTGGGACACCAGGGTCTCCCTAAAAACAAACACATGAATAGCACCAGGAAAGTTAAAAGTCTGCATAAACCACTTCATCACTTTGTATTATGCCGTAAAATAAACATTTCCTATTTTAGTGACTAATTATAGGCAGTGTAATATGATGCTTATAATGGTTTGTCTTTACCATTATGGTTGTTTATTATTATGTTATCAATAAAAAACTTAAATAAATCTCTATCTCTTTTCCAAGGTTTATAAAGACACAGTTCTTTTTCAAAGCAGTGGTATTTTGGATACACAGCAGATTCACAGGATCTGAGTATGCTACTGCTGTATTTAAGGAAGCCCACTGCTAATCCCTGCCTCAGTTCCATGGAGTGACACATGCCAGGCACTACAATTCCCAAAGGGACAAAGACCCCTTTACCGGCTGGCCTCGAATCCCGGGGGGGCCGGTGCTGCCCTGTGGTCCTGGGGAACCAGGGGGGCCTGATAATCCGGGGGGGCCTCCAGTGCCTGGGGATCCCTACAAATACAAACAGCAAGCACAGTAAGGAAACACAACCAAAACAAGGAAATAGAAGAAATTAACTTACACAGTCTCTTCAACAGGAAATATGATTACTTACAGTAGGGCCCTTTGCACCGGGGGAACCATCTGTCCCTTCAGCGCCCTAAAGATAAGATACCAATCATTAGAAATCATTTTAATGAGATGGGCATCAATCACAAAAGCAGAAGGTAGCTATTTTACCCACTTTACAAGACCAGAAAATAAAGGCTATTAAATTAATGTGGCAACATATGCAAATGCTAAAAAGAGCAATAAAGCATGCAAGTTAATGTAATTTTTAATGCTGAAGATTTTATGTTTAGGCTTAAGTTTTAAAGTACTTTGAGGATTGAGAGTGTATTGAGATTGTGCAACTTTCAGTTTTTCAACTTGTAATAAAATAACAAATAGTTATTGTCAATAAAATTACCACAAAACAAAGGAATGAGACCTCTTTTCCTTGGGAAAGAAGGTAATTTGATCAAAACACTGTTGTCAGGTGGGGCACTAAAAACCCCCATAAACAGATGAACATGCATAAGCTGAGCCCTGAGGAACTCAATTCAATGTACTTACAGGAAGACCTTGTGACCCAGCTGGGCCCTGAGGACCTGTTTCACCTCTTTGTCCTTGAGGACCTTCAGGACCTCGAGGACCTGTTGGACCTGCTTCACCCTAGGATTCCACATGAGAAGACAACTTCAGGTTATTTTGCTCTAAAATGCAACACTATAAAGTAATTCAAGAGGAATACTGATCTTATAACAGGAAAACAATTAATGTTTCAAATAGTTTATTACCCTTAAAATGAAATTTTGCTTACCTAATTTTGCTTCTATTACTTCTAGGTGAATGAGAACATTAAAAGTATAGACAGGATTTTTTCTTAATATATACAAGACAAGGAAACTTTGCAGAAAAGCAGCACTATCCAGGAGTCCAAATAGGATCAAGAACAGACCTGTTTCTCTAAAATCTCACAAAACGTCTGTAATTTTACAAGTTTTTTCTACCTTCATTAACAGCAAGGCTGTTAAGATTTAGATATGGCAACACATCTGGGATTGGTTGATTTGGTTTGCTGGTTTTGGGTTTTTTTTGCACAGCACAGATGAACTCACTGTTACAGAAACTACATTAAATTTCAAATCCCTGTAAGATTGGACTGGATGATAAAAAATTCCTCCCAGCATCTTCTTTGAATTTTAATTTTATATAGGAAATATGCCTTTTGGAATGGATGGCTGTTAATATCACATCATAAAACAAGTCCACATCTTCGTTGTATAATCTGCTGAGCTTTTATGAGTTCAACTATTCCAATTTTACATCATCTGATGATCAAACTGAAGGTAGCTTCTCCTTTTCAAAAGCTCTAAGTGACTCATCATGTGACAGTTTTTTAAACATTTCCTTAGGTAAAATCATACTGAGCCATACTAAAACATTTCATGACATGCACTACAAGGGCTATCATTTAACTGTACACTCCTCTTGTCTAGACTGTGCTTTTTCCAAGAAAGGTTGGAGTGGTTGGAGCAGATGATTTTAGAGGTCCTATTCCAACCTGCTCTTCTATGACTCTATGATTAAGTTGATACTGTTATTAAGACTTGTTTTCAAACAGTGTCATGAATCTTGCCAGCTTCACAACAACACAAAAACATCTGCTGATCTTGGCTACCTGACCAATTGAGAGTTTCTTCTTGTATAACATTTTCTCATCATGTTTTAGGAGTGTAAAGGGACAAAGAGGAACAGGTGGAGGCAGGGCATGTATAAGAACTATAAGGAAGCGGTATGAGTTGTCTTTTCTATCTCTGAAGACATTGACTCAAGGATAAGAAGCAAAAAAAAAAAAACCAAGACCAAAAAAAAAAAAAAACCAAAAACAAAAAACCAACACTTTCTTGCAAAGCAAGAGAGGGAAGTGCCACATAGAGAGTTTTTCATTTCACAGCCCAATCACTCCAAGCCACAAAGGTAGTACCTGAGTACTTGTAATTGGCTCTGTTGTGATGAACTGCACATCTCTGTTGGGGTACAGGCATTTCCCTCTTACCAGTCTAGACCATCCCAAAAAGTGTTCTTGGCCAAAACTAGAAGTTTCAGCACTAGAAGGTTCTGCCTCCGTATTGTCTTCGACTTGCCCTCCCAACCTCATTTCTAGCAATGTATCTTGCTATTCTTTGAATATTCTGGACAAGATTCCTGAAGCACAGCGTGGCAGTCATCTTATAATCACCCCTTGACATGAGCAAAAGGGAAAGCAAAGTATCTTAACAGTGGTGAATTGCAATTGCTTCATTTGGCTTTGGGTTTTATCTTCTGTCTGAAAGTCTTGAGTAAGACTGATTTCATAACAGCTCCTGGGGATCTGTACACATGTCAGCCTGAGCTCTGTGCAGTCTAGTAGACATTTTTAGTTGTGTGTTGTTAGACATTTTAAAAAGACACTCATTTTTTTTTACCTTTATGCCAGGAATACCAGGAAAACCTGGAGATCCAGTTATACCAAGTGGTCCCTAGAAAAGACAGACACAAAGCTGTAATTCAGTGATTTAGATCACACAGATTAGTATCCTATCACTGGGTAAATGTGGGTCTAGAATTACCTGTACTTTTTAGTCATAAAACATTTGGTTATAACAAAACCAGAAAAACTATAAATATCAGGTTTTTAAGAGATACATACACATTTTATGGCATTATGGTGCAGTTCTTTAATAATGTGTTTGCTGACTTCAGCAAAGCTACAGCTCTTGATTCACCTATTAATGCCTGAATTGCAATGTACACAATTCACGGTGAACAATTATAGTATTAAGATTCCTAAACTCACAGGCAAATCCACTTGAAAGCTGTAAAAAACAGACCTTGTATCAAAATTTCAGGGCTAGGGAGATAAAGATGTTTCCATTTCCATAATGTCTCTTGTGCTGTACAAAACATTCAAGAGAACTTTCTACTGTATTGCAAAGGCTTGGGAGGGCGGCACACAGTGGTTATCAATACTCACTGCAACACTGGCCCCAGATAATTCCTTTTTATCTTTTCCTGATTTTCTGTCTTTTTGTAAAATATGATTCATGCTGAGAAAAAATGTTCTATCTAATAAAGCTCTCCTGACAAACTTAATCAGAACAATCTGTCCCACTGAGCATTAATTACAGACAATATTTCTGCCGTGACCTTGCACTGGATTTCTACAGAACTGATGCAACAGCTCACCAAGTATATTTTTGAGAACCTATGTCCCAGTTTATTGGATCACAAATAATGTCTGCCAAATCTCTCTCTTGTTGCAGGAAGAGTTCCAGGATTAAGCTGTACCACTGCACTGACCCAAATAACAACACATTTCAGTAAGGCTTTCTCCAGTGAGAAACATGTGCATTAAGGACGAGTATCTCCCTTGTGACACTTGATGGGATTTTCCAAAAATATTAGCCAACCACTTATCATGTCCAGTGAAGCTGAGCTCACATTTTATGCCAAAGAAAAATTACAAGCTTCATGTAAAACCTCACAACTTACCACCCAGCTTCTTTTAACTTTATAGTTTGTTTTAAATACTGAAAAAAAAAAATTTCTTTGTCTGAAAGGTTCTCCTAACAACTAACCTTTCCTTCATGATACACTAAATAATTGAGTTGTGTAGCTTTTAGGCACCTACACTCATCATTTGAGCTTCTATTACAGTTAATTATTTCTTAATGAAGTGTTTAATAAAACAGTCTGTTCATTAAGATGACACAGGTAAATGAAGTTTTCTCAGAACTTTGTCACAAGTAAATAAAGAGTATGCACAGAATGAAATTCTAACTGCAAGCAGGTGTGGTTTAAGGTTTTGAAGGGGTTTTTTTGTGCAGTGCTTTTGGGATGTTTGGTTGTTGGTTTTTGGTTTTTTCTAAGCTGAACATCACAAAATGGTAAAGGCTGACTATATCAATGGGTAGAAGCTGTTATCCATAACCTACAAGTGATGCTTTCAGAAAAAAAAAGCAAACATAAATACCACATTTTTAAAGTGGAAATTGGCCTTGCACAAATAGTACAAAACCATCACCAGTTTTCACATACAAAAGCAACGCAAAATTAACTGTGTGTTAGAAACATCCCCTACTCATGTGAATTCACACAAATGTATTCTGCAAATGCAGAGAGATTGGACTGTAGGATCAAAACCAACATTGCTGCACTGACAGTGTGAGTGTAAACAGCCATGTCTTCCTCTACAGCCCTGCTGCCATGCTTGGAGAACTTAACCAGCCCTGCAAGCCAGGCTTTCTCAGCTTGGCAGACATTCAGACACAGGCCTCTGTCCTTCAGTTCAAACAGTGACTGTCCTTAATTAAAAGGCCCTTTTACACATCTGGTAATGGAACAATTGCAGGGAGCAAGTTGTGCTATCAGTGAGTGCCTTTCTTCTTGCTGACAACAAGCCTCATTTGCCAGCTTTGCAAGTGAAGGAAGATAACATTCAATTATGAACTGCTTTATATTGCAGAGCATGCACTTGGGCATTTCCTCCCCACCATATGGGCTCCATAAGAGCAGCAGAGCATCACCTCCCCAGGAGAGGCTATGGCCAACTCCTCTGCAAATTAAAACCTTTAGATGAAGTAAACTACAGAGGAAAATTTTGCAGAGGGAAGCACTAAAACTAAAATGAGTAGAACAAGGAATCATTCTCTGATAATTAATTCCAGATGCACTTAACTGATACCAGCAACTGCCAACTTTTTTCTTTTTTTCTGGTAGTGTCAAAAGACAAGTGGAAATATAGAGTGAAAAAGTTGTTGATTGAGAACCAATCACTTACCATTGGGCCTGGCTTCCCAGGCATACCATGCTGGCCACGTCCACCCTAGACATGAAAATAGAAAACACAGAGCATTTGTAAGAACTCTACCTACTTTTTAATTATTTATTGTCAGCATTTGTGATAAAACTTATATATACTAAGGTGATTGAAGAAATGATGGATTGCACATTTCTCCAAACACTGGCATGGAACACTTCTGGAAGAAATTATGCTCCCATTTGAGTTAATGGATTTCTCTATTTTCAGAAAGGACAATATTTTGAGAGTGTCATTGTCTGGGGCACATGACACAAGTGGATCATATAAAAGTCATGGCGAGAAATGCCAGAAAAACAATACTTGACACTGGATGTAAAAGCAGCAAGATGAAAGTTCTAAAAGAAGATAGCCTTATTATCTGAAATTAAATTTTTAGATTTCATCTAAATTGAAATATGAATTGAAAGACTTAATCTTAACTTTCATTTTAAAACTTTTCCAGACCAAATTGAAACATTATTTCCTGTTCAGTAATTTTTGCTGAAAAGAATCTCTCACAAGAAATCCAACAGAAACATAGAAGACATTTTTATATCCCAGAAATCCATGCTGTGAGGGTATCTGGACTCATGGGCAGCTCTGCTATGAGAAGTTACCATATAGTTACCACTCTCATTTTAAAACTGTTTTTAACTTTTAAAATGTATAGTACAGAGGTCACCTCACAAAACTGTTCAGCTCTGTAGCAGGACTCACAGCATAAGTGACTAGCACTTTCAGGCTCAGGGATTTAAATTTAACAAGAGAAGAATTACAAGAAAGAAGGAAGATTCTACTTACAGGGGCACCCTGTGGTCCAATTCGTCCTCTTTCTCCTGGCATTCCCCTAGGTCCCTTGAAGAAAAAACAAAAAGTGCATTATTCAGGAGGTCATCATGTCAGAATAAAAAAGGGCTGTTTTTTTCACCCCTGCAGGAGTAACTTATCTTTTCCTATAGCAGAAAAGAAGCAGCAGCTCATAAAAATCCTTACAGCTTCACAGGCTTGCCCAGTGGAAATTTAATAAACTGTAATTTCTGTTTTTCCCTTCCAACAGTATTTCCAGTTTTAAACACATTAAAATAAATTCTTTATATATTTACCAGTGACAATAATGCAACTTCTTTCACTAAACCTCATTCACAAATTAGATTCCACTTCAGGGATATTAAATTCTACATACAGCATAGTGCTTCACAGAGACATGTTATTATTGGATATCAGAAAGAGGTTTTACTTCCAGGAGCACTGCTGAGAGTTAATTTTTGTCATGTAACACTACCCATGCATATTCAGTTGTCCAAAACATTATCTGAATGAAAATTATTCTAAAAAAACTTTCGCCATTTCACTTCCAGGTCACGCATACTTATCCTCACCATAACCTCCAAAATCCTCTGTCAATGGTTTTCTTAGCCAGTTAATTCCTGATCTAAATTACTCCAGTTCTACCTCAGAGCAACCCAAGCCAGTATTTCTCACATTGAAATCACTCCATATGAGGCATCAACATGCAAAAGAAAACAGTATCACCCTACACTTACATGAGCTGGGAAACCATCACCATACCTACAGCCAAGTCTCTGCTGAACCTTCTAATTTATCATTATTACCTATGTCTGTGAATGGAGGGGAGGAACAGTGTGCAGTGGACCAAATTCACTGTCAGAGTAACAGAAACCAAGCCTTCATGAAGAGAAAGTTCAGCTCCATGAACTCAAATACAAATATCAAAGCCCTGCAATTCCCACTGGCAGTAGTATTGACAATCACTTCTGCAACATACAGTGCATGTGACACTCACTAGAGGACCTGTTGGACCCATGGCTCCCGTTGGTCCAGACTCTCCCTAGAAAAAGAAATGAAATGATTAGAGAAATGGGTGAAAGGAAAATTGAGTCACATCTACCCCTGTCCTCTGTGCTTTTGTTGGACCTCAGGGGCAGCTTTGCACAGGTACCTGTGTGCATCACACCTGGTAAGGACACTGCTCCCCACTCTGATGGAAATGCCATGTTTATGTGTTCCCAGTGTTTATGTGTTCTCTGCCAAAACTGCTGCTGTTGTTGCCTCCACAGAAAGTGGTAGGCAATCTTAGGAAAGAAGTCTTTTCTTACACAAACTCTCCTTAACTACAATCTCACACTTAAATTTAGATTTTGGAAGATTCACTTCATTTACTACTTTTTTAATCTAAAGGAATAATTCTCTCCCACATTCAATTATCACCTATGCCAGGCCAAAAATGTTTCAGCATCAGAACTGATGAAAGTGGAAAAGCCTGAAAAAAGTGTTCTATTCTCCTTTAAAACATCTTTTAACCTATCTTGAAAGGACTGACTCCAGCTGGCTACCCTGTGTTACCGCTGCTTTGATCTGAAGTTGTAAGAGTGGTGGAGTGCCAATGGAGATCAAAAATTCTGAGAATAAACTAATAAAACAGTCTGTTTGATTACAATACATCCCCTCTCCAATGCCTGTTTCTTTTAAGCCAATCTATCATAATTTAAAAGAGAAGAGTCAGGTTTTAGTTATGCATTGCTTTATTTGATTATATTAAAAATGTTCAACTTGGTCCCATAGAGCCAACAAGAACCATGAACTGTCCAAGTGGAGAACTGCAAGATGTGCATGGGCCCTTTGTTAACAGACTCTGCTCTTCAGTATTACACACATGTCACAAATGGAGCACTCGGCTCACCCAGTGACCCCTCACAGGCCTAAAGCAGCCCCAGCTGCAGCTGGGACTGGCACCTTTGAATTCTATCCCCCACATAAAGGTCAGAGAGGGTACAAAGCTGTGTTCAAAAGATCTCCTGCCTTTCAGGATTTTGGTATTACACAAAACATGCTTAATCATTTATTTGTTTTGGCCATAAACATACCTTTGCTCCAGCTGCTCCAATTTCACCTTTTGGACCATCAAGGCCTTTCAATCCCTGTGAGTTATAAAAATATAAAGAACTTGTATTTATATATGTACACACAGAGAGCGCTCCCACTATTATTGCTAAAGTAACTTGATATTAAAGTATTAAGAATGGATCTGAGGTGGTAAGAGTAAGAAAAGAAAAAATAAAGAAGAAAAAAACCAGATGGAATAAAAGTTTTTAAACATTTCCCAAATGGAAACCATTTGTACAAGGTACATTTCCCTGGATTTGGTTTCCTTTTATAAACAAAAAAGTTTAAAAAAAAAAAATCCTAAAACAACAAGGAGGAGGCTCTGAGCCATAGGAAACCAATTTATTCCTCCCTGAAGTAAAATTCTGGCCAGAAAACTTGGTAATTTGTAATCACTCCATGTTGCAAACATATCCACCTCTCAAGTTCCCCACCCTAATGTAAGACTTGCCAACAAAGTGAGAGAACTGTCAGGTTTGCGCCTCCTGAAGCTTGGCAGGGCTCATGCAAGCTCCTTCCAGATTCCCAGAACATTTGAAATAGAGTAAAAAAGCACTGGAGCATGTAATACAAAGGTCAGCTTAAAGGGGAATTGTACTGATTTTCTGCAAGGTCCCCTTTCTCTCAAATGCCAGTATTTCTGCTACAGCTGCCTCGTCTGTAGTGTAGGCAAATTCTGCACAGATACAAAGAAAAATCTTCCTTCTGAAAGTGCCAGGAAATATCATCTATATCAAAGGGAAACCTTGTCTCTTACCCGGTGACCCTTGAGACCTGGCAGACCAGGAGCACCAGGAAAGCCTCGAGGGCCCTAGGTAGGAAAAAAAAAAAAACCACAAATATAATCCTGATTCTGCAGATAAACCCAGCAATCATGGTACTAACAGGGATAAGGGCAGCAGCAATACTAATATTGCTAACACTCCTTCACCTTCATCATAGTGAGGAACAGCATTTGAGCAGCTCACAGATGATACAGCCTTGAAGTTATTCTCAGCATGATACACAGTTTCACTGATATTAAAAGCTTCATCATTTATATTGTTGTGTGATCAAAGTTCAAATTTCACCAAAATAATGAAATAAAATGAGTGGCAGGTCAAGTTTTGAGGGTTAATATGGACAAACATTAATTAGGCTGAGATCAAAATTCAGAGCAAACACTTAAAATGAACTAGAAACTTCGACCTGCAAACTGTACCTGTTCTTTCTTTCATACTATGTCAGTCCAGAAACATGATAAACAACTGCTACCAAAACATATTTAGCAACTAAACCAAAGCTCTCTTGCAATTAGCTTCCTACCAAGTTTCTCTGGAAAGGCTAACAGAAGTGCCTTGTGTCAGAATATTGGCAATATGAATTTAGAGCAGAAATCTCAGATAACAACAGTTATCCACTCAGCAACAAAGCAAACACCAGCCTGGAGCCTAGGAGTGAGCTAAGGACTTCAGATACTGAATGGCAGAACTTTGCACTTATAATTAAAAGCAATACTGATGAGTCACATCAGGATGAAGCAATAAGGAACCAGTATCATATGATGACATATGATTATTCTGCTAAAATTTCAATTATCATGCTCTTACTGGAGATCCTGGAAATCCAGGCTCACCGGTTTGTCCTGGTCTACCAGGTTCACCCTAAGGAAAGAGAAAAGGAACACATTAAAACAAGAGATTTGAAAATGGACTATGTGTATCATTCTTCCACTCAAACAAATGAGGACATTCACATCAGTATTATGCACTCTCTTTGCTGTAACAATGTCAGTGACATAAATCAACTGCATATGTGCCTAGCAAATGAGTATTAGACACATTAACTCACAAAGGGTTTTTAACCAAGAACTGGGAGAACTGAAGGCTGAACCCACAATGCATCCCAGTCATCAGGAGATGGTGCTGCCACCTTGTTTTCCTGGGAATTAATGATGACAACTTTCTGTCATCTTCACACAGAACATCAAATTGCTGTTATTTCCCACTGGAACAGCAATTTAAAACTACCTGCATTGTAGCTTGTGACTCTCCTTCTGTTTAAATGTTTTAATACATGTATAAATTCTAGGACAGTGACTATTTTCTGTGTATTGCAATAGGAAAAACAATATGGTGAAATCAACAAGTATATTTTGAAGATGTATCAAAGCCCACCAGAGTCACAGCCAAATATTCCTTTACATGCATCAGTCAGTTCAAATATACCCAGGACATCAGAATACAGGAATATGAAAGGCTTCAGAAAAATAATTTCAGGCCAGAGAGAAGGCAAAGGGCTTCACAAATGCAATTAAAGACACCCAAACAAAGGAAATGGGGGAATTTCTTAGAGCAGTGTCAAGATTTGACTTCCCTGCACTGAGAGTTAACTATTGCCAAGGATTCTTAACCTTGTGCAGTTTAATGGGAAGGTAGCTGTTATACAATTAATTTCTATACTAAAATGGCATCTGCAGTTTTCTAACTAATTTCCAAGCTATAAATTACAGTTAGATGGATTTTGTGTGATTTGCAAACAACTAATATACATACACCCACCAGTAAGGGCTTGGGCTACTGTTGAGCAGTGCATATACACCCATATAATATATATAAAACATACATTTTACATATATATGCATGCATACATGGATAAAGAAAAAATCAGTTAGGAAAATAATCAATTATCATTTTTAAAATAAATTAAATACTAAAATCTTATCCAGACACACGTGTGTGCTGCCATTACAGCTCTTCTAACCCAACATGCAATCCCAAAAAAAAAGGAGATGCCTCCAAGTGACTCCCTGTGATTTATTTTGAAGTTTGATTTCAAGAAAGATTATCTCAGTTAAGAGCTTAGTGAGGCAAGAAATAGAGATGGTGCTAGACTTTAGGTATGATGATGACACGTAAGGAAAAGAAAGGAGGGGTTGGGAAATGGTTGCCAAGATTCACAGCTGAGATGCTGGATTTAATGAAGAGTACAATTACAAAGGAAAGCAGACAATAGTAGTTAGAACAGGCACATCTGCTGGTTAGTCACTGCCTCACAGATGCCAATGTTTGTTTTATTAAAAATAAAACAAGATACAAAGAATAACAAACTTACATCTTCACCAGGTTTGCCTGGAGGTCCCTCTGGTCCACGAGAACCAACTGGCCCCTAGGAAATAAATGTATTTGTTGAGAAGTCAGTTTAGCCATCATTTAAATATCTATTTACTTCATTTTAAAGTCTGGTTTTACAAAAACATATGTAGAAAAGGAAGATTTTATGCCTAAGGACATTTGCTCAGCTTTGTGGTGCTCTTTCTAACCATCCTGACCCTAGAAAACCTGCATTGTATTATAAGAAAATACAGGATGGATTCTTTAGGAGAAAACCCCAAAACATTAAAAAACACAGTTGCTGTTTGCTTCAAATCTCTGGCTCTTGCTTTTAATTTTGAATAATTTTATGGCCTCAAAAAAATATTTTCATCATCCTTTGTGTAAGTTACACTATCAGGTCTGGTTTTACCAGTGCCTAATCATTCTCAGGCCTGTGCTGGAAAAGTGAGAATGATTGTTTTTAATATAATCATTGCTATTCACATTCAAAAAATCTCAAATTCATTGATCCATGACAACATGCTTTGAACACCACAACTCTTCACTGAAGTTACTTAATAGTTACAGCTGAAACAACATGACAAAAATTTCTGAAATTAAAAAGTATAGCATATTTGCAATTCTGTTGTAGAAATGTTTGCATTTATTGGTCTTACCATAGGTCCTGGATCTCCAGGTTCACCAGGTGGGCCTGTGGGACCAGCACCACCCTAAAATTAACCAAAGATTAATACAGTTACAAATTCCAAATTTAAAATCCATGACCAGGAAAATCACAGCCTACAGCTGAGAGTCTGGATTCTAATTCAGAACCAGTTCACATTTCCATAGGAGTGAAAGTTGGATACTAAAACCCCTCAACCTGTAGATAAATCTTGTGCCATACACAAACCCCACTGGAAACTTAACACCATGCCAATAATGAAACAAGAACAGTATCCATTTTCATTGCTGCTCACTCATTAAAAAAACTAGGTGGGTTAAACCCTGTTAAAGATCTAATAAACTGTTCTTTTGGAGCCAATTCCTGTGTATAGAGTCCATCTGGAGCAGAGCCCTTGTTTAAATTTCCTTCTGGATGAAGGTGCACTCAGCCACAAGTCACTGAGAATGGACACTGCCCCAGAGATGCACAAACCCCCCTCACCACGAGCTCTGCCTTCAGCTCTGGCCAATTTAATCCCCTCAGGTAAAGCACTCACTTGTTTTCCTTGGAGACCCTGAGGACCTCTTGGACCCACTGGACCCTGTTGAACACACAACTTGTTACACACTGGAAAACAACCTTTCTCAAGTAAGATTCACCCTACAAAGGGCAAAATGGCCTGATAGTCACCACCAGCATTTCTACAGTCTGAAAGGTTTCTACTCAGAAAATTGGCATTATGAAACACAAACAGATGTTGAATGAAATCTTCAAAGTCCAAAAGCCACAGGAGTGTAATTTCATTAGCAGCTGAAAATATGGACTTGGCTGCTTCCTCTAACCTCACAGTCTCTGGAATCACAATAACCAAACTGTCTGTCCAACTCCATGAAAAAAATGTAGTAATGAAATAAGAGTTGAGGGGAACAGTCTCCACTTGAAGGGAATGTCGTTACTCAGATGAATCTCATAATGGAATCAATGACAAAATAAATTAATCTTCTTGTTCTCAGTCAAGCTGAAAGGCAGTAATGAAAGGATGTGTTTAAATGTATCATACAAACCACCAAAAGAGCTTTCTAAATCATTGTGGTTAGTTACACAAAACTCAGATTGTCCCTTAGAAAATGCCATGGTACTTTTAGGAACAATCTCAAACCTAATTGTAACTTGTAAAAAAAATATTATCTTACTTTTTAAAGTAATTATCTTAGTTCTAGGAATAAAAAAACATCTATAACAGACAACCACTCATTTTTACAGAAATTCGAGACTTATGTCCTTTAAAATTCAATATTTTTTTATTAACTTTTAAAAAGCAAATGTAGAAGAGTCATCAATGGACCATTAAAAAAAAGCTAATGAAGATTAGAAACAAAATATTCCTTCAGCTGTCAGTTACCCAGTTTACAAAGGAATGAAAAAAGAATGTCACATAACATGCCAAAGAGCAAGTGAGTGCCAACCGACTTTAGCAGACAATATGTAAGGCCATAGATATATTAACATTAAATTTAATCATATTTGAGAATGAGAAGAGGCAGTACAAGAGATGCAACATCTTGAGAAAAACTGAGTGAAAAGATTAAGCAAAACAATGAAAGCAACAAAGTAGGGTAGACTTGTGGAACAAACCCGTTTATGTTCATAAAGCAAATTCACTGAAGAGAGACATTCATCATAAAGTTCTTTGAAGCAATCACTGCAAAAGTTAGTCCCAAGGTAAAGTATCAAATTATCTTTGGAACCTTTCATATGGCATTGGAACTGATTTTGAGCTACTAGTAGGGGCTTCGATAAAATTCAGGTGGGCAAACTCATGGGCAGTACAATCACTAAAGGATGGTTTCCTTCAGAATGGATGTTAAAAATATCAGCAAAGAGGGTACCAGTACTTCCAAGATACCAAATGTGAAGAGAGGTATTATTAAGAAACAACCACAAGAGTTCCAGAAGAGATAACTTAGGGTGGTGAAACAGCTCTCACAAACAGAAAATTTCAGTGTCACCATTAAGTCCCCAGGGCACGCAAAGTAAAGAGCATATCTAAATAGTGAGGGATGCCAGTGCAAAAACTGGGCCCACTGGGGAGACAGGAAGTCTGTCTTGAAACAACAAAGCATAGATTTGAGTTAAGAGTTGGTTTTGAACGTAGTTTTTTTTTAATTATTACCAAAAAAACCCTGATTTGATGTCACGTGTGAAAAGAAGATACATATTTGTTTATTCTGCTTTGTGTTATGCCTGACAACTTCAAGTCACTCTGCAATGAGCTGTTTTTTTCTCCTGTACCTTACTGTTAGTAGCTACTACATTTAACAGAAAAACACTTTTTTTCCCCAGGTACTGTGCAAAACTCTATTAGAATATATTGTACATCCGTGTTCAAGAGGCTCAGGAAGCTGCAGAGAATGAATTCTCTTTTGGGTTTTTGGACATGCACTCCACTTCCAGCATCTCTTACAGTACAGGGCTAATGTGGTCTTACCACTGCACCAGGCATCAGTCCCATCTGACTACCGAGTCCAGACTTCTCATCCAGTCCTGCCATCTGAGCTGAAAAGGGCTGGAAAAATAAGATGGGTGATTTTAGCTGTAAGTCATTGTGATGGTTTGTAAGGCAAAAATCCATGCAATCACATCTTCATCCTTTACCTTGCTTTTGCAGTGATAACAGGTCAATCCTTGTTTTAAACACTAAACCAAAATTTGTCTCTCCTGTAAATTTCAGGTGTTTAAAGCTTCAAAGATTTATGATTATTATTCTATTTCCACTTTAATATTAAACAAGTATAAAATGACCAAAAAGGAGGAAAGCCTCCCACTAGATTAATTACATTTTTTCATGACTTACAAATCTAGACCAAAACTGCCATATTCCTTCATGCCTTCTAAGGCTTCCCTTTTTTTCCACTTATCATGCTTCAAGTTCAGCAATATCTTAAGATAAATGGAAATGCAACTGATTTCATGACGACAAATTAGAATTTTTTAACATCATGCCCTTATCCAGCAAAGCTGAAAGCCACTGCTGTTCCTATCAATTAACAGAGACCAATGTGCTAAAGGGAGAAGCTTCAGTGTCCTCCTTCTTATGCAAGCAAATAGTTGAAATCAAGAGTTTTATTTTGCTTCATTCAGAGTCAGAGCCTCATTCAAAGCAGGCCAGAGCTTACAGGGGCTGAGAACTAGCAACAGCTCAAATGTAGATTCAAATCTCCCAACATTTACAGTTAGTTCCTCATTAGATTGGTCCTCAAACACATTTTCTAAAGGCTGGAGATTGCCTGAGGTCAGAGACAGGAATACAAACAAAAAAGATCTTAGATTTCCAGCCACACCTTTCTTCCATATTTTCTGTGGAATTCTATGTAGGATAACAGCCTATCATCCATTATGGCACTTCTGTGATTCTAAGAGATTCCTGTGTGCTGAAGATATTTACTTGGGCTGAGTCTGCTGGATTCAGAACTGCTGGGAAATGTGTCTAGGTCATGAAATGCTGCCCAAAGTTGCAAGCTATTGGCCTAACATGAATATTGCAGATTTTTGTCACTATAACTATTGTTTTCAGTAACATCTCAGGAACAATGGAATGAGAATCATAACAGGCGTCAAAACAGCAATAAATGTGTAACTGATTACACTTGACAAATTCAAATATGTATTTAATTATCAACCATAATCAGTATACAATAGAAGGAGGAGGAGAAAAAAGTTTTGCAGAATACCTTGTCTGTATCTATAAGGCTGGTTAGCACTGCTTTCACAAACAATTTTTCTCAATCAGTGTCTGAATACTTCCAGCAAGAAGTATTATCAACCACATTTTAGTTTCTCTCATTAGTTATTTCTAATTCATTTATCTTAATTTTCACTTTTCTATGTTCCTAATTTGGTGCACTCATTTCCTCTGTACTATTGCTCAGATGCCTTGGATGGTGGAAGTAAAAGAACCCTTGTAGCGGCTCTAGATTAGGGCAGGTTGGCTTTGCTAGATGCTAAACCTGCTGTGAAAGGTGCATCCTTTCCCAGGTTTCTCACATTGAGCTTGTCCCAGTTTTTGGCAGAATTTGCAGTGCCACTTTCTGCTGGCCCTCATGACTGGGAGACAGGAAGGGTGGGCACAACATTCCATGGTCACGGAACCAAAGGCAAGTCACCATTTATGCAAATAAATATCACGTGGATCTGGTCTAACACCACTTTGAGCTAGAGCAAATGTAAACTTACCCTGCTTATTCCATCTGGTCCTGGGTGAGTGGGATGCCCTGGAGGACCAGGGTCACCAGGCTGGCCAGGGATACCAGGTTCCCCATCAATCCCTTGAGGACCACGAGGACCCTATAAAGAAAATCAGGAATGCCAGCAGTGTGCAAAGGTATTCACTGAAATCATTGTAACTGGAAACACCTGCCTCTTTGGGATAAATATGCATTTCTACAGAAAGATCTTCAAAAAAACAACATCCCTAAGCTCTGTTCCCACCTTCAGATCAGAAGCACTGACTGAAATTTATCATTAATCCAACTCTGAAGTAAACTGTAGTAATTTCTATCACAGGGTTTTTTAGAAACTCAGGCTTTCTATCATTCCACACTACAGTTAACTATTCCTGAAAAACTTTTGGCTTTGCTCACTGTATAGAATGAAGTTAATTCACTTCTAAAATGAGTACAGCTCAGGTAAGTGTAAATATACACAGAGGCTTAGGAAACTCCAGAGTAATGCTGGATTTTTAAAGCCTACTTGACATATGAATGGTTTAGCCAGTTCATAGCACTGTTGAATTCTCAACAGAGTTGTAATGCCAGAAATGCAGGGAAAGTTACCTGGTGTTGAAGTCACCTCTAGCCAGTATTTACAGAAGAGGTTAGAGCCCATCCTGTGGCTCTCATTTTAATGTGTCTCCCACTTTTAATTCCTAAACTGCACTCAACTCGTATAAGAACTAAAATTAAATATGTAGGCAGCTAATAAAACATTAGCTGAACAAAATGAGTAGCAATAGGATTGCTATAGACATGCTTCAATCATAAATACAGACTTTAAAGTGCTTGTTACTACTTTTCTTCATTAGAATAAAATGCTTGACCAAGGCAAGGAAAAGTTTTAAACTATGTAATGAGCTCTGCCATTTTAAGGATCCGTGAACATAAAATTTTAAAAGCCTGGCTCACTGAGTCATCTTTTCAAACACAATTAAAAATCAGATTGCCAGAATTTCCATGAGGTGAGGGCTCTGTCTGCAACACATTTCAGTGGAATTTATGTCTCAAGTGGTATGGTTTGAACTAGTATGGCTCACAGAAGGAGCAGTGAATAGGTCTGTGAGAAGGTGTGTGCATTTTGGATGGAAGAGAAGGTTTCAGCACAAAACTTCATTCTTAAATGTATCTATTATAAACACAAGTACACACTGCCAAACCTAAAAGTCCTTACTGTCCCAAGGAGGAAAATAATGAGATACCTTATTTGTTTGTTCTCAAAACAAAAAGAAAACAAAGCTAAGCATTAGAGGAAAAAAAAACCTACAAAACCACATCTGGCTATAAAGAATTTGGCAAGTCTATGTCTTTGCTGATTTTCAATACCCACACAAAACACCTTAACAAAATCTAATAGATAAAAAAGCCTTTTTAAAATTCTTTTTACAAAAGGACCTACTTTTTAGTCACCAAAACTCAAGCTGGTTCAAGAGAAAAATGCAACTACTTACCTCAAAAAGTAAGTAACTAGTGGTATATAACCAGTTTGGTGGGTTTTCAATAAAACATTGATTATAATTTTATTTATTTTACACCATTTATATATTCATAGGTATAGAAAAAAGCCCTTTCATTTTCTTTCGCCAGTTGAAAGTCAGTGAGGTTAAAAAAAAAAATGGAAGACGAAAAAGAAACAACATTCTCAAAAATGCCACGAGGTGGCACCCTTTAAACACAATTTTCTCATTCTGTTCCATCGTTGCTGCTGGTCAGGAAACAAGTAAAGGTTTTGCTTGTAATAAAATAAAAGGAAAAAGAAGCTCACGGTAGGACACTCCCAAATTTCTATTTACTTAAACTGCTACTGCAAGTAAAATTGAGTGTAAATCCACATGGAAAGAAAAACATATGAATGAGTCTGAGGATGTCCAAGTTTATTTTCTGTCCTCAAAAGACCATTTGTTAACAACTAAAATGTCATCATGGTCCAAAGCTCCCCCTCCCTAGATGCATTCTGAAAATGCAGCCATACTATTCCCTAGCTGTCTCTCACTGTTACACTAACAAAGAATCTGGTGTAAAAAGTATGCTAATATTCCTGAATCCATTTTACATCCAAGGGTCCTGCTTTTGTAAAAGGTGGAGATCCACAGCAATGTTGAGTTCTTTCTGCTCACTAGTCAGCAGGAGCCTGACTTTAAAGAACAACAAAAAACAATCTGAAGAAATAAACAAACATCTTGGAAATGCGTTTAGTGCATTAGTAACATCCCCAGTCAGTAATGTATTTAACCAGATTAATTTTACAAGAGCAGTCTGTACAAGATTATCTGCTCCATGACGGTTTTTTTCATAATATAAACTGCAGGTGTGAGCTAACATTTATTTTCCACAAGTAAAAATAAACCCGTGCACTAGCAGTCACTGTGTCTCAGTGCTCTTGGTCTCAGACCCACACTCTGGCATACACACAGCTCATCAGAACCTATGATGGAACTTTTGCAAAGAAGAGGACAGCTTCTCAGTCCTGTGTTATTCCTTGAAAGCTGAATAACAACCTGTGTCAAAAGGACTCAAAGCCATTTACAGCCTTTTGGGATTTTAGGTGCTTGTGGACACCACTCTCTAGAGAAGAAAAGGGATGCATGGCAGGGAATCAGACTTTATTTAGAATCTCATTGGCAATACTGCACATAAGGAAAGCACTTCAGACACAGCCCCATTCAGAAAACACAAGTCAAGATTTCTCTGTGCACCCCAAGACTGCACAAGGACTCCCAGAGTTCTATTAAGCATTTTGATACTCATACTTCTGACAAATGTCTTCTGGAGATCTGAAGAGCAGCAGTGGCTTGGCAAGCATCTCAGAGAGGCTGCACATTTCCTGCACTGCTTTAACAACGTCATTACCACCTCCAGACAACAGGCACACGCTGGAAACAGGGCAAGGGAGTCTGGGTTAGGCCTATGCCTAATCTCAGTACTGGCTTGTTCTCTCCTGAGGGGTAGGAAAATATCCACATTGAAATTACAATGATTCAACTCTCAAATCTGCTTTTAGTAGCTTCTGTTCTTCAACCTAGCTTTTTGAAAAGGAACATGTCATCTGGGGTATTTTCAAGCACTCCTTTTTGGCCTTTCTGTGGTTCTCCACATGCAGACACCGAAATTCCCTTATGAAGTCTTTATTTCCACTGAGCAATCCTGGTTACATTATTCACCAGCATACCAACAAATGTAGTCACATATTAACTCCTGCTAACTTCTGAGCTTTCTGCAGTGCTCTGAGCCACGCAGCACACACTGCTTCTGCTGCACAGCAAGTAGCCATCAAGTTCTAATCAAGGGAATGTGATGTTCTAGTTCTGTCTGAGAATGTTTGTTGAGAAAGTATGGCTGTGGTGGAATTACTGCTAAATCTCTGCCCATTTCTCAAAATATTCAGGTTTCAATCTACCCCAGCAATGATGAAGTACAAATGTTTTCCTCTCTGTTACCTGATTCCTGGAAAATACGAGGACAGTTTTGGTAACTCTAGAAGACACAGAGACAGTTTAAAGCCATTTAATCTTTTGAAGTTGCTTCAGGTACTTTATTTCTGAGATATTTAATAACTTACAGGTCTTCCCTTTGGTCCTCGTTCTCCTCGTGGACCTTGTGAGCCTGGAGGTCCCTAAAAGAAAGACCAGAAATATTAAGTCTCTTTTAAACTACCTAATGATTAAAAAAGCTCTGCAAATATGAAATCCAATGCTTATTTGAAAATTAATTTGTGAGTTTTTTCCTACATCATCATGAAGACAACAGCTATAATAACCAAGTATTCAATATTTCTTCTCAAGTGGACATTGCCTGAAGGGAGTAGAACCATGATGCAGAGATCTACAAAATGGTTTCATCTCTCGTGTGCTCCACAGGTTAATCCAGCAAAGGTTTTCTGAATGCTGGGTTTGAGACACCCTCCCTGCTAGTCCAGGACTGCTCTGTGCTCAGCCACAGCACAGAGCATCCTGCAGATCCTCCTACTCCTGCCTGGTCCATGCTGGAGAGGCATTCCACTGCACTCACCCTGCACTAAGGGCCTCAGATGTCCATGTGCTACAATCCATTCACTCCAGGGATGGGCTGACCTGACACTGTTAAAAACATTCCATCATCTTCCCACCTCCTCCGAGCCAGTGGTTCTGCAGATAGCACCCACTGAGGCGTGGAAGAATCCAGAATCCTCCTTCACACATCACCCTCCCAACACAATGCAGGCATGGCAGGCAGTGGCAGATGCCTCATCAGAGAAGCAGAAGATCAAAAAGTACTCACGGCTGGTCCCGGGCGGCCTCGTATGCCTGAAACCTAGAGCAGGGAACATAAATTAAAGTCACCACAAGTCATGGCTACATCTGTCCTCACTCCCCTACAGAAAATCAGTCCTTGAAAAGCAAATAGCAAGGCAGGACATTAAAGTACCAAGCAAGTTAAAAGGCTTTTTAGGCAAAGGGAGAAAAAAATGTGGTAAATATAATTTGCACTAGTTATCTTTTTCCAGTTTGGAGTCTTTTTATTAGAAATGTGAGCAAAATCTTAGAAGTATCACTTCTCCTCTAAAGAATATTAAATAAATAAGTGTTTAGGTTCAAATTATTGATTATTTAAATCTGTTTGGCTTCACACTGGAAAGGAATAAATAGGTAATGAAATTATATTTTACCCCTTTCTAGATATTAACTTACCATTACACTTCTACAAAAATCTAACCATAAAAATAAAGATTATGGCAGAAGAACTAACAAATAACAGGAATTTCTAAAGTTATATATGAGAAACAGCATACTAATTCCACTCCTTTCATTCCTAGGCTGTATGGTTTTGTTGTATTTACTTCATTGCTGCAATTCTGCTTTAAAGCACTAATATGTGCACTTCTAGGATGTGCTGATGGATGAAGAAAATAGTGACTTACAGGTGGCACTATTCCAGGTTCTCCTTTTTGTCCCTGTAGGAAAAAGATACCAAAACATCAGATGCCTGAAAAAAAGTGCAAGTACAATTACCAGTACCAGTTTCAGCAATACCATCCCTGTGACTGTGATAAGAGTAAGGCTTTTTTAAAAATACAACACGACTCAATTAAAGTACCTGTGACAAATAATCCATATTATTTTAATGACTATGGACACTGATTAAATGATGGCCATAAATTAACATTATCCTCTAGCTGCATAACATACTGTCTGAAAGAAGAATTAAACTAAAAAAGTATGAAACTTTTCTGTTAGAACTGCTAGAAAGTGCTAGAAAGTAGCACTGTTGTTTGGATGATTCATGTGAAATACAGAGCCTAGAGCAGCTTTTAGATTCCATTTCTTCAAGGTACTAAATTAAACAGGTATCATCAAATCCATGGATATAGAAATCCATCTACAGGGACAGGTTATGATACAATGATATTGCATAGCTTCAGAGTGAAGGACAACAGCAATTGACAATTGACTTTTCTTTGAGCTGAATGTGTTGACAATGATTACATCAAATAACTGGGTTTAGACCTACTGGTGGTAACTGGTTTCTTAAGGAAAAAAAAGAGGGCTTTGCAAAGATAAAAAATGTCCTGCCTTGCTTATCAAGTAATAAATAATAAGGTGGGTACAGTGCATTTATTTCCATAAACTAAAAGTTCTGGATCAACTAAAAGTTATTTCAATTACTTCTTGCAGTTGCTTACTATCTTAGAGGCCTATTTATGGGAATGCCTTTTCACATCTTCTGTAAGAGCAAGTCTTCCCTTTGCTAAACTGCACACAATGGGAGAAGCTGCCCACAGAACCGTGACTCTGGGCAAGGACACACAACTCCAGTGCCACCTCCTGCCCACTGGGCAGCTCAGCCTCAGCACAAAAACCAGCTGCAAGCTTTAACAGTTCAGCATCTCCTGACACAATGGTCCCTTCCCTCAGCCTGTGGCACTGCTAGAGGTGACACAACCAAACCACTCCAACTGGAACTCCTTTGATGTAGACAGCAGGGATTTTCAGCCAGGGGATTCTCTATACTAAGATCAGGATTTCTGCCTGCATCCCAATGTTTTTTTCATGTGGACTACAATATCCCTAGCCTCCAAGGAAGGCCAAGAGAAAGAACTACATGTTTTTAAGAGAGATTATGTGTATCTTTTGTGATATGCTTCAAGGAGATGCATGGGAGTCTTTTAATGGTAGTATTACATTACAAAAAATAAAGGAAATCTTACCTTTCTTCCTCTACCTATGAGAAAGGACAAAAGAAGAAAAGAGAACAAATTAGTGATTTTACTCTGAGAGACAGAATACAGTAAGGGTTGAGTGAAGGTGCTGCAGCTAGAGCCATCCTTGATCCTGGAGGCAGAGGGGATGGTGCATTACCTACACGGAGGTGGGAGAGTTCCCAGGGACACACATACTCCCTGGTCCATGTGTGAGGAATCACAACACTGTGCAAAAATGTCCTCTAATTCTCAGCCTTTTTCCTCATTGCACACAGTAACAAAAACCACTTTGGGAAAGCAGAGTATCTTGTGAGGGATTGTCAGATGCTGGCCTAATGACTGACAGGAAGTCAAGGGAAGCTTTATTACTGACTGCAACAATAACTGTTGATGGATCCACAACATATTACATGGTATTTTTCAGAAGACAGAGTTCACAGAGAGATTTTTGGCCTTTTTTTTTTTTTGTTTTGGAGAAAGCACCTGCACTACCATGGGCATGCATTCAGAGCCATATAGCCACACTCGTGTACACAAAAATCCCTCAGAAGAATATTTTTATAAATGCCTCAAATAACAATAAGGAATTTGGGAATGTATCCATACTGCTTTTATATTTGCTGGGTGCACCCTGCTGGTGTTGGCCCAATGCATCCCAAAACAGAGCAGGATGCACCATCTATTTATTAATGCTCACCACATCTTGCTCCACTGCTCAATTACAAAAGTCTCTGCTTTTGTCTTTATCTCTACTTTGTTCAATATTAAGCTGTTCAACAGTAATTGTATCTCCTGAAGAAATTAATTATTATGCATTGAATGTAGCTCTAATAATTCAATACACAGTGTTATGTAGCTTTAATTGCAAGGTGAAAAATTGTCTTTTAGGAAAACTGAGGGGGGATTCCTTTATCTAAGTTTCTCCAGGAAGAAAAGACTTAATCCTTTAGGTATATAATACAAAATATGCAAATAGGGAGTCAGTAATACTTCATGCTTCTTTTATATCTCACAAAAGGATGTTTTCACTTTGGGAAAACATTTTACATTGACTCAGTTTACATTTATTAGAGGGTCCCTGAATTGAGCATTTGAAAGAATGCACTTATTATATATAGTTATGTTTTCAATATTTATATATCTTAATATGTTTATTATATATACTTATCTTTCAGTTTCAGATGAACCAGAAAAGGAAGCCAGAATTCAACCCCCTCAAAATGTCAAGACAGATTTCAGATCAACCTTTTAGCTGTAAAGCCATTTGGACTTATATGAGACTCATAGTCCGAAGCAAACTGTTTTGAGTTGGCTGTGGGGCAGCCCAAGAGGGATGATAACTGCCAAGTAAATGCTATTTTCAGGCTTAAATTTTCACCATAAAAACAGCTTTAGGAGCTTCAGTATCACAAAGTTCCTAGTTCTTTGGGCTGCCTCTCCTCTCAAACTAGAAAAGGCTCTTACCTATGGTGGGGTCAAAGTCCCGTGGTGTGTGGGGACACACAGGACAGCACTCTCCCGGGGGCACCTGGGGGTTCTCACACTCCAGTAGGTCCTGACACTGGATTTCATCGCAAAGAATAGCTCCATTGTCACAGACACAGATTTGGCATGGTGAGGGCTTCCAAATATCCCTGTTCAGGTACATCTGTCCATTCTGAGTGCAGGCTATTTCTTCACCATCTTCTCCTGGGACAGAGGAGAGAATATACAGCATGAATCCAACCATGAAAATCAAAGGAATGAGACTGGACAAGGAAGGAGTACATCTGGAGATGAGAAGCAGCATTACATACAGAGAAAACAACAGACCAGCATAGCTAAAGCTGATGTTAAGGACTTTTAAGAGATGCATCCTTCTTCTTTTACCACCTTATTTCTTGATCAGAAAGAAGTAAAACAGAGTCCCCAGTTTCCCCATACTATCAAAGGAACTTTGCCTCATGAGTCTTTGGATATCATTCTGCCCAGTGGGGTGTCACCTCCACCCTGAGGAGCTCCTGCCAATTCCCTGCTCTGCGTAAGTGCTGAGCACAGCACATTGCAGAGGTGGAGACAAGAACCTGTGACTGGAGACAAGAACCTGTGACTTCTGTCTGGAACAGCACAGGCTGCCTGCTCCCTGCTGGCCTACACAGCCAGATGGGACAGGGCTCAACAGACCCAGCAGCAGCTGGGGGAAAGAAAAAAGACCATCCCATTTATTGAGTGAGGTTTATTTATTGGTGTGGGGGAATACCAGAACTGAGAATCAAATCTTCCAAGCAGGACAGCCAGCCTCTGTCCAGAGGCAACAGCAGCACCCACTGCAGTGGTACTTGCAGCAGGGTCTCCAGCTGAGTAACAAGAGGCTCCTCACATGATTTATGCTCTGTTTTTATAACCCAGCTGGCCACGGCCCCACATGATTAACCTAGCACACACACAATACTGCCATGGATATATCTTAGCTACATACAAAATACCTCTTAGATATTTTAACCATATGAAAGACCATAACCATATATGAAAGACCATCCTTTGTCACTATTTTTATACAGGACCAGTATGGACTGATTATATGCCTACTCTATTTACTTATTCAAACAGTCACATTCACATTTGTACTGTTTTACCATACATAAGTCTTTGCCTTTGTTTTCTTCCTGCTTTGTAGCCAAACACACTGGGTATGTTCGGATTTTTCTAATCATGAGGTGGGTATATCTCAGTATCTTCTCCTAAAATTAAATATGTCTGAGAAAGAGTTCAAAAAAACAAGTAAAGTAGAAAGTTTTGCTTGTGTATCCAACATTTCACAGAATGCCCTAGCAGCAAGAAAGGACTTATTTGTTTTGAGAAATGAAATTTCTCAAATATGAAATATTTCATCCCCTAAAGGAGCAAGCAGCTGCAAAACCAAAGAACCATCCCCAGGCTGTCCACAGACCATGTGTCACAACTTGCAAACCAAGAATCCCAGTGCCAAGACAGTGTCTGAGTCACACACAGCAAAGCTGTCACACACAGTCCAAAAATTATTGTCCTGACCCCTGAGATGCTCCAGAGAAGACTGATCTTACGTGGGTGGGAGGTCCATCTGACCACAGAAATTCCTCCTATCCAAAATATCTTTGAAATTGGACAATCTAGTTAAAACCACTACTGAAAATTCTGAAACACGTCTAATTTCTAAGTGATACAAGACTGGCAGTAGAGTCAATTTTATACACAGGACACATCTGCCTAATCAAAGATCATACCATTGTTTGTTTTAAGCAAACCTGTTACTAGTGTAAAAATTAACAGCTCTAAGCACAAAGACAATTTCACTGTTCTATATATTTCTGTCCTAATTTAAACCAAATGTAAACAGAAAATCACAAAGTAATAAATAGGAGCAGATTTGGAATTTCAGCTTCGTGCCTCATCTCAAGCCCAGTTACTCCATCAAAGTCAAAGCTTGAAGAAAGCGAGCAGATGTGTCATTAACTGTTGCCTGCCATCACTAACAGCTTTTTAACACAAACTCAAATTGAAATTTTCACCAGGTCAGTTCCTCTTCAATTGCTTTATCACACCAACAGACTAAATGACTCAAAGAGGTGCTGTAGAAGCTCAGGAGGAAAGGTTTTCAGTGTGAAGTAAAGACATCAACTAAGTATGCTGCACAGTCCATTTATGACACTGTGAGAATCATTTTCCGAACTGCAGATCGTATTTTGGAAACCACTCTTCTCATTTCTCCCTTGTGAGCATGACATAATGCACTGTCTGACATATTTAGCCTTTTCCCCCCAGATGTCTGGCATATGGTCTATGTCTTCTTTAACATATCACCCACAGAACTCGTTGTGCTGTTCAAAAGAGCAACAGTTTGCATAAATGAAATTTCTAAGTTATTGAGCCCAAAGTCAGCATTCTGTCATAACTTCAAATAAACCACATAGCAACTGCTTTGGCAAATCAGAGCTGAGCCAGATGGTGACTAGCCTCTGCCTGGGTCCTGCTCAGTGGCTGGGAAAGAGGCAGACAAAGGCAGGGGGAAAAGTACATACCAACTTCTGAAAGCTACCAAGTCTGCTTCCCTATCAGATTGTAGATATGATGGCAATTAAAAAAAAAAAATCCAAATAAACAAGCTAAAACCAAAAGAAAAAAACCTACCACCTCGTAATAGTGTCAAAAACCACAATGATACATCTTTTGATTACATCTGGCGCTCCAAGGGGTTGTTTTCTGCTGTGACTGCATTGCACTGAAAGAGTAACCTGGAAAGGGCAGCTGTTTCAAAGCCAGCTCCTTTCACAAGAACATTTTCACATTCTATTCCCAGGCCTGAACTGCAGGCGTGTTATCCAGCTACACCCAGAGCAGCAAAGGCAGCAAAGGAAACCATTCTACCATTTCCTCTCTGCCTTGTAAATTTGCAGGTTTGTTTTAATCACAGAGACCAAGTTACAAACTCTTTATATATCACAAGTTCTTTCTACCTCTAAGCTGGAACATTAGGTGCTGAGTGGCTTGAGAAGCAGCTTTGGAAATTTTTAATGAGGCAAAATGGTCTGTTAGGCCATTAACCAATTCCTTTCTTACCAACAAAACATACATCTCTAGTTGGTATTGGACCTGACTAAAGAACTGATAGGATTCAAACCCACCAAGTCTCAAAGCAGTCTAAAAATATAAAATGCAAGGTAGGAGAGATACCCAATGATACATTTAAGGACTCATTAATCCATGGGCTTACACAACAACCAACCTTCAGAAAGAAGATTTCAATGCAAAGCACAGTACATAAAATGCAATTTTTTTCTGCTATATGTGTTGGAGTATGGTTTAACTTTAAAGATCTAATTTATCAGCAATCAAACTGTCAGTTACAGCTAATTTACCAGATCCAGCATCAGCAGCTTGGAAGTAAAATCCCATCAGGCACTGCCATACCCAGTTCGGTGTTGCCACTGAAGCTGTACTAATTACTGGGAGGGGAGGAAGGGGACAGGGGACCCAACATGCCGTCCCAGCCACTAGATGGCTGTCAATGTCCATCAGTCATCATGAGTAAGTGTCAAAGGTCCTGCACAGACCAGGTGTGTAAAACCTCCTTTGGGCTGCTTGTGCTGCTTGTCTTCATTTCAGGTACATCCCTCTCAAGGTTAATTCTCAAGCTAACAGCAGGAAAAGGATTTTAAAAGACAGCATATGAAATAATTTCAATTTTTCAGCACATCATTTAGAAAGTAACACCTGAAAATTTACTGCTGCTTCATTTGTTGTTTAAAGTTCCTTCACATTGCTGTGCCCATATTGCTTTTTCTGATGCCTGGTTGCCATCTTGCACATGGAAAAAGGAAAGTAAGGCCTGGACATGGAACCAAGCAGAACAAATAGAAAGAAAGACAGAAAGACAGAAATAAAGAGGGAAAATGACACCACAAAAATGTGCACCATAAAAAGTAGAAGCAGTGAACCACCACCACCTCAGCTGAGGTGATGGCAGGTATATGAAGGACAGGAATACATCTTTCAATGACCTACTTGAAGAAAATAAGTGGTCTGAGGAAAACCTGCATATGTGAGGGTTTTCTGCAGACATGAACAGCATTGAGTCATAGATGAAATGACAGGAAAAAGAAAAGGATTTGGCATTAAAGCAGCTCCATTTCATCACATTTTACTGGTCCTACCAAATGTGCTAATTAAAGGAATCCAGAGGCTGACAGACCTACAGTGGTAGAGAACACAGTCTAACAAAAGCAAAAAAGATGATGACTGGTACTGAAAGCAGTCTGCCAGTTTTAGGCTTTTGTCTGCCAGGAGGGGCTTCTTGATGCATAGTGTAACCAAAGTCCAATTCTTTTGCATTGTTTAACATAAAAAGACTGGAACAGAAGGGGTACAGTTATTTAATGAAAAAGGGTTGGAAATAAAACTGCACAGGGGTCTTCTCATTCTCTCTCTGTCATCCTCATGCTAGGTTTGTGAAAAGCATAGAGAAATATAAGATTACACAGATACAGTGGTTTTAAAGTTTAAAAAGCTAGAAAAGGAAAAGCTGAGTTTTGAGATATGAATTACAAAAGTTAATCCTGCTGACTCACAAAGCAGAGGTGCAGAAGTAAATCAACATGAAAGATGATACGTGCTAGCAACCATTCTGCAGATGTACTGCTGTGCACGTGTACAGACTGCCAGGACAGGGACAAGAGGAGCTTGGGCTTAATAATGTTTGACTGTCAGCCTGCTGCAACAATAATGTAGGGCTTGATCCAGATCCCATTAAATCAATGGGGAAAACCATTTACTCCAATAAGATTCATACTTCTTTTTTTTTTTCCTTTTTTTTTTTGGTAATTTTTTTTCTGAGTAGTAATCAAGTATTCTATTTTATATGACTAATATATATAATTTATAATACTAATATATATAATTACTGTGACTTTCAAATTATAATATAAACACCAATTATTCTGAAAATCAGATAGCTTTCAGGAGTGCTGACAAATGCAAAATCTATTTTGTATTTGTTGCACAGAAGCAATTCTTGTTAATAATGATTAACAGAGAGAATTCACATAAGTGCTTTACAATTACATACATGGGGATGAACCTGGAATACTTTACTAGTAAAAGACTGAATTGATGCTCAATTCTGCCAATTTTGTGCACATAAGCATTTAGGAAGAGAAAGGGGTTCCAAATTACTG